AATTCTAACTTATTTTCAACCCTCTTACATGGTACCCACTCCCCAACACCCATTCCGCCAACAGGAGGGCCCCGGGCAGGACAATGGGAGCGTACCCAATGAACATCCTTATAAACCGGCGATGGATGCACTCAAGCAACGCACCATTGCCATTGGTACCCACATGAAGATACCCATGGCCCTCATGCGATGCGGTTTGACAGCTCTCAGTGGTGGAAAGCAGGTGGCGAGCACTAATGATGTGTTGCATGTGCTGGTATCGGAAGCCAGTGAGGCAGTTGCGAAGATGCTGGCAGCCACTGCCATAGCAGGTAAAAAGGGGAGGATGGGAGCATGTAAATGTGTGTACAGGCCAGTGCATTAGCGCCTCTAAGAATTGATCAGCGCGGTGACACTATCATCCATGCCCTCCATCATTATCGCATGCTGTCCGCATCGTACATAAATCGATACATCTATTCTGGAACTAGAGAATTGTTGGGGAAATGCTGCCCCCCACTGAAGGGGTGATAAGTATGTATGTGTGGGACCGCGGGACATGTCTAACGCACATACTTCTGGTATACCACCCCCCTCATTGCGATCCTGTCAATTGCAGGACCTGATGGGGAGGCATCTCTTGCAACAGCAACAATGCACCTAGAGGCACAGGAACGCTCCTTCCAAAAGAGGAGGTAGGGGGATGGGGCCACTGTAACCGACATGCTGCAAAGGGTCCCAAGCCATTCACAACCTTTCACGTACAACCTGCCGACATACACTTGGACTGCGGCTGGACAGCTGGTGCCTGTCAAGGGTTTCAAGCACGGGGGACCGAGAAAGGGAACCAACTATGAGACTTTAAAAGTGACAGGTACGCATGCAGGGAGTCCAGCAGGTGGACTGCTGGTTGGGGGTGGGGGTGCTAGAATGGCCTCACCTGCTGGTTGGGGGTGGGAGGGGCTAGCATGGAAGAATTGGCGCGGGAGGGGTTGCTCGGGGGGGTAGCATGGCTGTTTATGTGCTGATTGGGGGTGGTGGGGCTAGGATGACAGCACATAAGAGTGAATGGGTGGTGGGGCTAGCATGGCAGCACTCTAGATTAGATGGGTTGTGGGGCATGCATGGTAGCACCTGGAGAGAATGGGGGGTGGGGCTAGCATGACAGCACATAAGAGTAAATGGGTTGTGGGGCTTGCATGGTGGCACCTGGAGAATATGGGTGGGGGGGTAGCATGACAGCACATAAGAGTAAATGGGTGGTGGGGTTTAGGGGGCAGCACCAGGGAGTAAGAGGGTGGTGGGGCTGGCATGGCAGCACCTGAGAGTAATTGGGTGGTGGGGCTAGCATGGCAGCACCTGAGAGTAATTGGGTGGTGGGGCTAGCATGGCAGAACCTGAGAGTAATTGGGTGGTGGGGCTAGCAGGGCAGCACCTGAGAGTAATTCGGTGGTGGGGCTGGCATGGCAGCACCTGAGAGTAATTGGGTCGTGGGGCTAGCATGGCAGCACCTGAGAGTAACTGGGTGGTGGGGCTAGCATGGCAGCACCTGAGAGTAATTGGCTGGTGGGGCTGGGCTAGCATGGCAACACATGTGAGTATTTGGGTGGTGGGGCTAGCATGGCAGCACCTGAGAGTAATTGGGTGGTGGGGCTAGCATGGCTGCACCTGAGAGTAAATGGGTGGTGGGGCTGGGCTAGCATTGAAGAACATGCGAGTATTTGGGTGGTGGGGCTAGCATGGCAGCACCTGAGAGTAAATGGGTGGTGGGGCTAGCATGGCAGAACCTGCTGGTTGTTGGTGGTGGGGCTTGCATGGCAGCACCTGCTGGTTCTTTGTGGTTGGGCTAGCATGGCAGCACCTGCTGGTTTACATTGGTCTAACAACGATTTCGAACGAACATGTGCCTTGGACCTGTTCTCCCTTATTCTGTGAGGATGGCCCCATGAACAGATCCCGGGGTTCGTCCGGAAGTCTTGGAGCGGGATGGTGAAATCTAGTCCCTTAGCATGGAGACTATTGTTGCATGCGGGGGTGACGTGGAGGGCGAAGTGGCGGAGGATGTGACAGATGACGCAAATGCGGACGACCGCCTTATTGACCATGTGGCGGGGGGCCAGGAAGCCCCGCCTACAGACACAAATGCTGAAGCACAAACCACAACAGATGCAAGGTGAGAGCGACGAGTGGGGTAACACATGTTGTTGTTCACCCGTGTTGCATTATCCCTGAAAGCATGCCAAACAAGTCTTTTCATGCGCGCCCATACTCAATGCATGACGTGCCTGAGCAGGGCAGCACCCGCCACGTCAGACGCTCCAAGGAGTACCGTTAGAGCTCAACCGGTGGCCGCAACGATTTCGAATCCGGACGACGGCATGGTATGTCTACTCGACCCCACAGCGTGGGGGAAGGGGAGTGGGAGCGTGGGGAATTGGTGGTGAAAATACGAGGGCAGGTGAGTGAAACAGTGGGGGAAAGGGGGTGAAACAACGGGGGAAGGGGAGAGGGAGCGTGTGGGATAGGGAGTGAGACATTGGGGGGAGGGGAGCGAAACAGTAGGGACAGGGGAGTGAAACAGTGGGGGAAGGGGCATGGAACTGTGGGGGAAGGGGAGTGAAACAGTGGGGGACGGGGAGTGAGGCGATGGGGGAAGGGGAGTGAAACAGTGGGGGAAGGGGAGTGGAACGGTGGGTGAAGGGGAGTGAAACAGTGGGAGATGGGGAGTGGGAGCGTATTCAAAGTGGAGGTGTGGGAGGAAGGGAGCGTTACCGTGGTGGAATGGGAGATGACCCGTCGAAGAAGGGGTTGTGTAAAAGCTATGCATGTTGCATTGGAAGCGTGGGGGAGGGAGAGTGGAAGAGTGTAGGAAGGGGGAGTGGCGTAGTGGGGGAAGGAAAGTGAAAGCGTGGGGGAAGGGGAGTGAATGCGTGGGGGAAGGGAAGTGGAAGCGGGGGGAAGGCGGATTGAAAGCGTGGAAGATGCTTTGGGGAGCATAAGAGCAACGGATCAGCGGGCCGTGGGAGCAAGGGATCAGCACAACGGGGGAGCAGCGAGGCGCGGGAGGGAAGAGGAGCATTGATGGAGGGGTTGCCTCCCTGACCGTCTCCCTAGGACCCCCTCACTTGGGGTTGTTACAGCCTCTTTTATAACTCCTTATTGTCACATTGAAGCGCCCGCCGACGGGCATTTCAATGACAGGCACCTCCTATCGTGTGCAGAGGGGATACTATTCGTTTTCGTTGGTGCTTGCTCGCCGAACTTGATTCCTACCCGTATGCGAGTACTGCGGTGAAGGGAGATGTGGGGTTGCGCCGCGCATGAGGACTGGATCAGACGGGGGCTGGATAGTTAGCATTCCGCGTAGTATGCATAGTGGGAGGGGTGTGCTCCTCGTAGAGCAATTTTGCCCCGTAACGGCCGTCGGAATGCGGTTTTGTAATTGCGCAGCCTGCCATGTGACGCCACGGTGCGGGCGAGTTTACGAGCATGGCAGTCGTCCCCTGATGTGAACTCGAATTGTGAGTCCTCACGCCGTGTAGCCCTAAAAATCACATCTAATCCGCAATTCCGGGTTGCGCTCATACGTTGCAGGTTGTGGCGCATGTCCGTCACACGTCGCAATGGGCGAGTAACTCCACATCAGCTATGAGCGTAATCGCACCATCATTTCGGCGCTCACGCTAACGTCCGGCTCATCGCCATTGGTCGCTTTCGCGTAGGTACATTTCTTCATGCGCAGGGCCAATGCGTGTCTCTGGCGTCACTACGTACCTCGGTATTCACATGTGCCTGTTTGTCGTCGCCTTACAACCAGCACCAGGTCCCGTGTGCGTAAGGTCTAATTAGGTCTACTGCTGGTGAGTAATGGTGTTTGTCAGGGATCTCAGTTCGAAATTGTGCAAAACAGTTGACTCAGCCCTGGGCTTGGCGTGCGACACCAGATCCGTCGTCACAGATTGTTTTTCCCATCCCCCTGCGATCGAGGGTAATGGGTTCGCGAAGATGTGAGGATTCATGTTGCGAAGTGCAGTTTCTTTGGCGAGTGTCGTTTTGACAGGACGTTTGTTCGTGATTCGTCAGCCAATCAGTCCAACCCTTTTTTTGTCGACTGCAAAGCACTTGCTCTACTTGAGACCCTGGCTTTAAGGGAATTTCCGTTTCCCTTGCTGTCATGGCGTTTCTCACTCCTGTCTCCGTCCGTCCGGGCAGAAGCGAGAGCGGGTCTCCTGACTGCTGGAGCGGAAGAGATTGCACTGCCTCTCGCCAAGAGCAACGAACGAACCAACGCCAAGAGCAGGAGCGGGAGCGCGAGCCTGTTTCCTGGTATGCCATGTACTGAGCAGGAGCAGGAGCGATGCAGCTGCGTCCGTGCAGGCACTGAAGAAGCGCTGGCGAGAGGAGATGGCTGACTGACTGCTGCATCGCGTCCATAGAAGCTTTCGTACTGTCGCTGACGCATGGCCGAGCATCATGACGTTGGAAATGGCGGGAGAAGCTGCTGCATTGGCTAACGGCGATGCTGCTGTGTTGAAGCGGTGCTGCGTCCTTGGAAGCATGACACTGATTGGCGTTGGTGCGGCATTGGAGGTGGAAGGGTGCTGCTGGAATGGTGTGGTGCTGCTGCTGTGTTGGAGGCGGTGCTGCTGTGCTGGAGGCGGTGCTGCTGTGTAGGAGGCGGTACTGCAGTGTTGGAGCGGTGCTGCTGTGTTGGAGCGGTGCTGCTGTGTAGGAGGCGGTGCTGCTGCGTCGGGGAAGCGGCGAGTGGAAAAGCAGCAACTGGAGAAGCAACGACTTGAGAAGCACGTAAGTAACTGGAACTCTTCCTTCTCCTCGCCCTCCCGTCTTCATCCTCATTCGCGTTCTCCTCAATTCAGTGTTTTTAAGGCATTCGTTTTCATTGTCGTTTCAAATGCTTCCGTGTTCTTCGACTTACTGATAAACCTTTCCTGTGCGATTGCGGCTCTCTTCTCACTGTGCAGGGCGTTAATTAATGGCAGTCCATGGCGCTATGGCAGTCCATGGCGCTATGGCAGTCCATGGCGCTATGGCAGTCCATGGCGCTATGGCAGTCCATGGCGCTATGGCAGTCCATGGCGCTATGGCAGTCCATGGCGCTATGGCAGTCCATGGCGCTATGGCAGTCCATGGCGCTATGGCAGTCCATGGCGCTATGGCAGTCCATGGCGCTATGGCAGTCCATGGCGCTATGGCAGTCCAAGAGCAAGGAGGCAAGGGGAGCGCACGCAACGGGAGCGCGCCTGCAGGAGAGCAGGGTAGCGCACACAAGAGGAGCACGCCTGCATGCTCCTTCGACCCTCTTCCATCCGGCTAAGCTATCTCACTCAATTCACACCACTCACTCCCTCGCACTCGTGCCTTGCACTGCTTCCTTCCGTTTTTCCTTGCTTACATGCATGCCGTTTTTCCGTTCTGTCACTTGCGTACGCCGTGCTAATCGCCTTCCCTCTCACCTCCCTTCTCTGCTCCGTCCACTTGTTTCCCTCTTCTCCTCTCCCCCTGCCAGCATCCCTCTTCTCCTCTCCCCCTGCCAGCATCCCTCTTCTCCTCTCCCCCTGCCAGCATCCCTCTTCTCCTCTCCCCCTGCCAGCATCCCTCTTCTCCTCTCCCCCTGCCAGCATCCCTCTTCTCCTCTCCCCCTGCCAGCATCCCTCTTCTCCTCTCCCCCTGCCAGCATCCCTCTTCTCCTCTCCCCCTGCCAGCATCCCTCTTCTCCTCTCCCCCTGCCAGCATCCCTCTTCTCCTCTCCCCCTGCCAGCATCCCTCTTCTCCTCTCCCCCTGCCAGCATCCCTCTTCTCCTCTCCCCCTGCCAGCATCCCTCTTCTCCTCTCCCCCTGCCAGCATCCCTCTTCTCCTCTCCCCCTGCCAGCATCCCTCTTCTCCTCTCCCCCTGCCAGCATCCCTCTTCTCCTCTCCCCCTGCCAGCATCCCTCTTCTCCTCTCCCCCTGCCAGCATCCCTCTTCTCCTCTCCCCCTGCCAGCATCCCTCTTCTCCTCTCCCCCTGCCAGCATCCCTCTTCTCCTCTCCCCCTGCCAGCATCCCTCTTCTCCTCTCCCCCTGCCAGCATCCCTCTTCTCCTCTCCCCCTGCCAGCATCCCTCTTCTCCTCTCCCCCTGCCAGCATCCCTCTTCTCCTCTCCCCCTGCCAGCATCCCTCTTCTCCTCTCCCCCTGCCAGCATCCCTCTTCTCCTCTCCCCCTGCCAGCATCCCTCTTCTCCTCTCCCCCTGCCAGCATCCCTCTTCTCCTCTCCCCCTGCCAGCATCCCTCTTCTCCTCTCCCCCTGCCAGCATCCCTCTTCTCCTCTCCCCCTGCCAGCATCCCTCTTCTCCTCTCCCCCTGCCAGCATCCCTCTTCTCCTCTCCCCCTGCCAGCATCCCTCTTCTCCTCTCCCCCTGCCAGCATCCCTCTTCTCCTCTCCCCCTGCCAGCATCCCTCTTCTCCTCTCCCCCTGCCAGCATCCCTCTTCTCCTCTCCCCCTGCCAGCATCCCTCTTCTCCTCTCCCCCTGCCAGCATCCCTCTTCTCCTCTCCCCCTGCCAGCATCCCTCTTCTCCTCTCCCCCTGCCAGCATCCCTCTTCTCCTCTCCCCCTGCCAGCATCCCTCTTCTCCTCTCCCCCTGCCAGCATCCCTCTTCTCCTCTCCCCCTGCCAGCATCCCTCTTCTCCTCTCCCCCTGCCAGCATCCCTCTTCTCCTCTCCCCCTGCCAGCATCCCTCTTCTCCTCTCCCCCTGCCAGCATCCCTCTTCTCCTCTCCCCCTGCCAGCATCCCTCTTCTCCTCTCCCCCTGCCAGCATCCCTCTTCTCCTCTCCCCCTGCCAGCATCCCTCTTCTCCTCTCCCCCTGCCAGCATCCCTCTTCTCCTCTCCCCCTGCCAGCATCCCTCTTCCTGCCATCCCTCTGCCAGCACACCCACAGGCCGGCAGCAGCAACGAGCAGTGCAAGCAGTGTGGCGAGTGAAGAGGCGAGTGGTGGGATGACGACGGCCTGGGCTGGCCTTGCTGACCACTGCCCTCGCCCAACCTCCCAGCAGCAGCAGCAGCAGCAGCAGCACCGGGAGAAGCGGCTGCTAGCAACGAGGCTAGGGCAAGTAGCAACGAGGCTAGGAGAAGGACAGAGGTCCGCAATGCCACTACAGCTGGCAGCAGCAGTGGCTGGCAGCAGAAGAGAAGACCAGCAGTGACACCAGCGGTGGCAGCAGCGGTGGGAGAAGGAGAGAGGTCCGCAATGCCACTACAGCTGGCAGCAGCAGTGGCTGGCAGCAGAAGAGAAGACAAGCAGTGGGAGCAGATGCTAGCAGGGATGGCTAGCAATAGGAGCAGACGAGAAGAGAAGACCAGCAGTGGGAGCAGATGCTAGCAGGGATGGCTAGCAATAGGAGCAGACGAGAAGAGAAGACCAGCAGTGGGAGCAGATGCTAGCAGGGATGGCTAGCAATAGGAGCAGACGAGAAGTGAAGACCACCAGTGGGAGCAGACGAGAAGAGAGGACCAGCAGCGGGAGCAGATGCTAGCAGCGAAGGCTAGCAGTGGGAGTAAAACTCTGAAAATGGTGAGTTTTGAGAGACGTCTCAAAACTCACGCCCCCTCCTTCCTCACTGCAGATTCGCTGCACTGAGCAAAACGTCTCAAAACCCACATTTGTTGTAGACTAGGGTTTCTGTTCTTGTTCTTGTGGCCTGCGGTTGTTGTTTTGTTCTTGTAATTCCCCCTGTCGAGCAGCAGAAGGAGGAGCGGCAGGAGGAGTAGCACCTTCAAGTGAGGCGCTTTGCCCCCTGGGGGGCAAACGAACAACACAAGGAGGAGCAGCAAGAGGAGGAGCGGCACCTTCAAGTGAGGCGCTTTGACCCCCTGGGGGGCAAAGGAACAACACAAGGAGGAGCAGCAAGAGGAGGAGCGTCACCTTCAAGTGAGGCGCTTTGACCCCCTGGGGGGCCGAAGGAACAACACAAGGAGGAGCAGCGGGACGTGGAGCAGCATGAGGAGGAGTGGCAGCTTCAAGTGAGGTGCCTAGTTTGCTCACTGAGGGGCAAAGGATAACCTCTGTGCCGCCCCTCTTCTAGGTACAGCAAGAACTGGAGGCAACACCACAGGGGGAGCAACACGGGGACGCACCAGCTGAGGGGCAAAGGATAACCTCTGTGCCGCCCCTCTTCTAGGTACAGCAAGAACTGGAGGCAACACCACAGCGGGAGCAACACGGGGACGCACCAGCTGAGGGGCAAAGGATAACCTCTGTGCCGCCCCTCTTCTAGGTACAGCAAGGAAGGGGGCCAACATCGGGGGCGGAGCAACAAAGGGACGCAGCAGCTAACCTGCTGTAAGCTGCAGTCTTTTTTTGTCGTTTCTTGTTTTGTCTAATGCGTAATGTTGTATTTTGTGTGTCTTCCTGTCTTAGGCGTCACCAAGACATCAAGAACGCTCCAACCCCCTCGGTAAGCGCTCGTCCATTTTTGTTTTCTCTTTTTTCCACATGCACTAATGTCGTGGTTTGTTGTCCCCCTCCCCTTTCAGACAGCCCCAAGACTTCAACACGCCTTCATTCCCCTCGGTACGTGCTCGTCCATTTCTGCTTTCCTGTTTTCCACATGCACTAATGTCGTGGTTTGTTGCCTCCCTCCCCTTTCAGACAGCCGCAAGACTTCAGGGTAGCAGAGGAGCGTGGGGGTAGAGGGGTGTGGGAGCAGAGGAGCGCGGGAGCAGAGGAGCGGGGTAGCAGAGGAGCGTGGGTGTAGAGGAGCGTGGGAGTAGAGGAGCGTGGGGGGAGAGGAGCGTGGGAGCAGAGGAGCGCGGGAGCAGAGGAGCGCGGAGCAGAGGAGCGCGGGAGCAGCAGAGCCAGTGAAGACTTGCTTTCCTGCTTTCGCTTTTTGTTCTCTAGGATGCCTTGTTCACTTTGCGTTCATTCTCAACCACTTGTTTCTTGCCATCTTTGAATCACTGCAGTGAGCTCATTGAATCTCTCTTCCCACTCCACAGGAGATGGGAGTAGCAGAAAGGCGGAGTAGCAGAGGCAGAGGAGGTGCAGAGGCAGAGGAGTAGCAGAGGCAGAGGAGTAGCAGAGGCAGAGGAGTAGCAGAGGAGCAGCGGAGGCGGAGGGGGCAGGAGGAAGGATTCCCGGCCATTGCCACTGCCAGTACGTATCTTCGCTGCCTTGTTCGCTTGGCATCGATTTCAAATTAGTTTTTGGCTTTGTGTGCAATCGCTGGGTGCTCATAGCCTGGGTGCTCATAGGCTCGTTCTTCCTTCCCTTTCCGCAGGAGATGCATCGGAGGGGACAGAGCAGTTGAGGTCCAGCAAAGGAGAGGAGGCGAGCAGCTGCAGAGGCGGAGGGGTAGCAGAGGAGAGGAGGCGAGGAGGACTTCCCGCCATTGCCACTGCCAGTGAGCATTTCCTGCCTTGGTTGCATTCCTGTATCTCAGCATTTTATGGATGCAATCACTGGGTGCTCATAGGCTCTTTCTTCGTTCGCTCTTCGCAGGAGATTCATCAAAGGGGCCGAGGAGATGCATTAGAGGTGGAGGAGGAGGAGCAGAGGAGATGCATCAGAGGAGGAGGAGCAACGGAGGTGTAGCAGAGGAGGGAGCAGAGGAGATGCATCAGATGAGGGAGCAGTTGAGGAGAGGAGGGAAAATCGAAGGAGCAAAGGAGGAGGCGAAGGAGAATCTTCTGCCACTGCCGGTGAGGATCTGCTACACACTTGTTCTCACTTACTTGTGTGCTACCACAGGGTGCATTTGGTGCAATGAGCTCACAAACTTTCTTGTTCCATTCCGCAGGATATGGAGCAGAGGAGATGCATGAGAGGAGGAGGAGATGCATCTGAGGAGAAGGAGAAGGAGATGCATGTGATGCATGTGAGGAGAAGGAGATGAAGAAGAGGTGGAGCAGAGGAGGTGGAGAAGCAGAGGAGTTGGCTCAGCTGAGGAGCAGCAGGGGAGACGAGGAGCAAAGGAGCGATGGAGCGAAGAAGCACCAGAGGGGACGCGAAGGAGAGGAAACGGAGCAGCAGAGGAGAAGAAGGAGAGGCGAAGGAGATGGAGAAGAGGAAGGAGATGGAGCATTGGAGAGACATGGAGCAGAGGGCACGGAGGAGAAGGCACGGAGGGGGGAAGGCCAAAGGTGCAGAGGAGCAGATGAGAAGAGAACCGCGCAGCTGCGATTCCCCCCAATGCTGCTGGCCGCATGGAGGAGAGAAGGCATGGAGGAGAGAAGGCATGGAGGAGAGAAGGCATGGAGGAGAGAAGGCATGGAGGGGAGAAGGCACGGAGGGGAGAAGGCACGGAGGGGAGAAGGCACGGAGGGGAGAAGGCACGGAGGGGAGAAGGCACGGAGGGGAGAAGGCACGGAGGGGAGAAGGCACGGAGGGGAGAAGGCACGGAGGGGAGAAGGCACGGAGGGGAGAAGGCACGGAGGGGAGAAGGCACGGAGGGGAGAAGGCACGGAGGGGAGAAGGCACGGAGGGGAGAAGGCACGGAGGGGAGAAGGCACGGAGGGGAGAAGGCACGGAGGGGAGAAGGCACGGAGGGGAGAAGGCACGGAGGGGAGAAGGCACGGAGGGGAGAAGGCACGGAGGGGAGAAGGCACGGAGGGGAGAAGGCACGGAGGGGAGAAGGCACGGAGGGGAGAAGGCACGGAGGGGAGAAGGCACGGAGGGGAGAAGGCACGGAGGGGAGAAGGCACGGAGGGGAGAAGGCACGGAGGGGAGAAGGCACGGAGGGGAGAAGGCACGGAGGGGAGAAGGCACGGAGGGGAGAAGGCACGGAGGGGAGAAGGCACGGAGGGGAGAAGGCACGGAGGGGAGAAGGCACGGAGGGGAGAAGGCACGGAGGGGAGAAGGCACGGAGGGGAGAAGGCACGGAGGGGAGAAGGCATGGAGGGGAGAAGGCATGGAGGGGAGAAGGCATGGAGGGGAGAAGGCACGGAGGGGAGAAGGCATGGAGGGGAGAAGGCACGGAGGGGAGAAGGCACGGAGGGGAGAAGGCATGAGGGGAGAAGGCATGGAGGGGAGAAGGCATGGAGGGGAGAAGGCACAGAGGGGAGAAGGCACACATGCACGGCTGTGAAATCTGCACACATGCACACCAGCAATCTGCAAGCTCTTACGTGCTGCTGCTGGTGCTGTGAAGTGATGGGACCACAGCTGCTACCTTCCTCGCTCCTACCTCCCTCCCGCGTGCTGCTGCTGGTGCTGTGAAGTGATGGGACAGCGAGAGAGGCCCGCAGTGGGACCAGCGGTGGCAGCAGCAGTGGGAGCAGAAGAGAGGCCCACAGTGACATTACTGGTTTCAGCAGGCGTGGCAGCAGAAGGGAATGCAAGCAGTGGTACCAGCAGTGGCAGCAGAAGGGAATGCAAGCAGTGGTACCAGCAGTGGCAGCAGAAGGGAATGCAAACAGCAGTGGCAGCAGAAGGGAATGCAAGCAGTGGTACCAGCAGTGGCAGCAGCCGAGTCAGCAGAAGAGAAGGCCACCCTTCCCGTGTGCTACTGCAGAGGAGCAGAGGAGCAGCAGTGGGAGAAAATGATGCTGCATCCTTCCCTTGTGCTACTCTAGAGGAGCAGAGAGACGACTGGCACCTGCTGGGAGCGGAGCAGAGGAGGCAAAGGAGGATTCCCAGCCATTGCCACTACCAGTGAGAATGGGCTGGCAGAGGATTCCCCACTGGGAGAGGAGCAGAGGGGACGACTGGCACCTGCTGGGAGAGGAGCAGCGGAGGCGAAGGAGGATTCCCGGCCATTGCCACTGCCAGTCCCCGCTGGGAGAGGAGCAGAGGGGACGACTGGCACCTGCTGGGAGAGGAGGCCACTGCAGGAGAGGTGATGAGCAGGTGAATAGAGCAGAGGAGCAGACCTGTTGGCGACCTCTTGTGGAGAATTGAAGCACCGACGCTAAGGACGAAGTGCCGACGTCAAGACTTAATGTGCGGACACCAACACTGCAACACTTCACCTCGTAAATTCATATTCTACCTGCTACGTCATCAGATTTTACAGTTAACATCTCTTTTTATGCGTAAGCAACTCCATAAGCTTGTAATGCCCAGCATTCCATCTCCTCAAACCTTTGACCACCAAAATGAGACTTACCATCATGAAGTTGCTGTGTAACTAAGCTATAACGGCCGATAGCTTAGTTTCACAGCATCCTCTTGGTGGTTAGTCCCATTGTGATGGTCAAAGACCAAGAGAGATGGAATGCTCGACATTTCAAGCTTTTGGAACTGCTTTCACATTACAAGAGATGTTATCTATTAAATCTGATGACGTAGTACGTAGAATAAGATTTTACGGGGCTAATGTTCACGGCCTACCTAGACTGTGATGGTCGATCGGAGGTAAGTAAAACTTGATTCAACTTCTTCTGCAAGCGTTTTTGGCATTCTTCAAGATCTAACCTGTTGCTTCTTCCCGCAGACCTCCTGACGACCGACTTGGCACTAAGGCAAGCTCTTCACGACAGTTTCAATTTCTCGCCACCAATAGAAGTCGCTGCCGTCTCCCCCCGTCACCAACACGGAGACGGTCGAGGTAATTTTTTCAATTATTTTTGGAATCAGTTTTTTTCAGTTAACGTGTTCCTGAGGAATAAACTCTAACTCGTTGCACTTTGTTCTGCAGACGATCTTCTTCTTGCCACTATCAACCGCAGAGAACCCAAGTCAAGCATCAAGACGCGAAAGAGGATTCCCGGCCATTGCCACTGCCAGTGAGAATGGGCTGGGAGAGGAGCAGAGGGGACGACTGGCACCTGCTGGGAGCGAAGCAGTGGAGGCGAAGGAGGATTCCCGGCCATTGCCACTGCCAGAGCGAATGGGCTGAGAGAGGATTCCTTGCTGGGAGAGGAGCAGAGGGGACGACTGGCACCTGCTGGGAGAGGAGGCCACTGCAGGAGAGGTGATGAGCAGGTGAATAGAGCAGAGGAGCAGAGAAGGGGCGAAAGGTGCAAGCTGTACCTACCTTTAGCTGCCTTGTGCTGTCTCGCTCCTACCTCCCCCGCATGTGCTGCTGCTAGTGCTGTGAAGTGGTGGAGTGGTGCTGCTGCTGGAGGGGGAGTGGTGCTGCAGTGGAGGGGGAGTGGTGCTGCACTGGAGGGGGAGTGGTGCTGCAGTGGAGGGGGAGTGGTGCTGCAGTGGAGGGGGAGTGGTGCTGCACTGGAGGGGGAGTGGTGCTGCAGTGGAGGGGGAGTGGTGCTGCAGTGGAGGGGGAGTGGTGCTGCAGTGGAGGGGGAGTGGTGCTGCAGTGGAGGGGGAGTGGTGCTGCACTGGAGGGGGAGTGGTGCTGCAGTGGGGCGGGAGTGGTGCTGCACTGGAGGGGGAGTGGTGCTGCACTGGAGGGGGAGTGGTGCTGCATTGAACAGCACAGAGCAAAGGAGCACGGTGGTGGATAACTATTCACTGCCTACGGTGATTCGTTTTCTTATTGTGGTTGTTCTGTTTGTTTGTTCGTTGCCTTGGTTTTGCATCTGCTTCGAGCTCTTACTTGGCTCTAAGTTCAGTCAGTGCCTTGCCTTGGTTTTGCAGTCAGTGCCTTGCACTCATGTCCCCTGATTTCTTCTCCTCCCATTCCACAGAAGGACGCAGAGGCGAGGGAGCAGCAGACGAGACGGATCAGCAGTGGAGATGCAGAGCAGACGGCTGGTACAGGCGAGCAGAGGAGACGGCTGCTACAGGCGGGCAGAGGAGACGGCTGCTACAGGCGGGCAGAGCAGACGGCTGCTACAGGCGGGCAGAGCAGACGGGTGGACTGCCATGAGCGGGCCAGCGAGCTGTACCTACCTTTAGCTACCTTTAGCTACCTTTTGCTGCCAAGGATCTGTGAAGGGGATGAAGCAGCTGTGAAGGATTGTGAGGAACACAGATTCCCAGAAAAACAACTTGTGGGGAAACAACTTGTCTATAAGAGATCAAGCCGATGGTGCAGATGTGAAGCAGATGGTGCAGATGTGAAGCAGATGGTGCAGATGTGAAGCAGATGGTGCAGATGTGAAGCAGATGGTGCAGATGTGAAGCAGATGGTGCAGATGTGAAGCAGATGGTGCAGATGTGAAGCAGATGGTGCAGATGTGAAGCAGATGGTGCAGATGTGAAGCAGATGGTGCAGATGTGAAGCAGATGGTGCAGATGTGAAGCAGGGGGTGAAGCAGATTGCAGGGAACACAGGTTGCAGCGAAGCAGTGTAGGGGGTGAAGCAGATTGCAGGGAACACAGGTTGCAGCGAAGCAGAGCAGGGGGTGAAGCAGATTGCAGGGAACACAGGTTGCAGCGAAGCAGAGCAGGGGGTGAAGCAGATTGCAGGGAACACAGGTTGCAGCGAAGCAGAGTAGGAACACTCTATTCTCTTGTGAGTTTCGAGAGACGTCTCGAAACTCACTCCCAAAACTCTCCCTCCTCACTGCAGCTTAGGTGCAGTGAGCAAAATCAGGGTTTTGAGAGACATCTCAAAACTCTTTTGACCGTGGGCAGTTTGCTCTGTGTTCTCTCTCCCCCCCCCCCAACAGGGTCACATATTAATTTCCACCTGCCTATCCTTCTGTGTTCTGTCACCCCCCCAACAGGGTTACACATTAATTTCCACCTGCCCCTGGGCAGTATCCCGTATCCTTTTGTGTTCTGTCTCCCCCCCCAACAGAGTCACATATTGATTTTCACCTGCCTTTGGGCAATATCCAGTATCCTTTTGTGTTCTGCCTCCCCCTCCAACAGGGTCCTAAGCGATGGTTCCCACCTCACCGCGGTGCGTGGGTGTAACGTTGGGAGCTCTGCTCCTGGCGGCCAAGAGGAACCCCCCATGCATACCTACAGTGCATGGGTAGTACAATTAATACCGTACAATTAATTAATATTTATTTTGGACCATCATTAGGAACTTTGAATGGATAATTACCGTAGCATGAAACTATTACTGCATAGGTGTTGGCTTAGTTCAGGCATTTGTAGACAATTAATCCAGTAGACTAGCATGTCATTCCTGTTCTAGATTGATGCACCAGATGATGTGCATTTGCTGGTGTGACAGACATAAACCATTGAGACAGAACCAGAGACAGAAGCACACTCAGACAAACAATCAGACAAACAGAATTGGGATTGGTGAAATCGGGGATCACGCGGCACAAGGCTGTTCTTCTAGTTCATAGCAGCGTAACCTTGCAGGAATCGCACGGTGCAATCGGCTGTGCTAATTCAGAGCCGCGTAGCCTAAGAACGAGACACATGCTAGATTTAAAGGCGCCACGATTCAGAACCTGACGGGGACGTCTAGTGGCCTAATCCACGAACCGAGTCGCACGATCAGATCCGATCTGACTACCGAAGCTGGTTGTTTCCAACCAGTCTGCTTCGCACTGATCGCGTGACGCGGATTGCGCGACACTGTTCGTGCGAATCTAATCGTGCGACTCTTTTCGTGCGATATAAGCTCGTGTGCAACCTGTTCGCATGGCGATCCCAGTGCCTTACATCGCGTCGGTGGCGGGATTCATATTCTTCGTCCACGCCGCGTTCTTCACGGCGCATTGTACGTTTTTCCGGTAACCCTAGTCGTTGATCATCATTCGCCGTCGTTCGCGATGGTGACGGAATTCATATTTTTCGTCTACCCCCCGTTCTCCACGGCGCACTTTACTCTTCTAGGCTAACCCTAACTTGTAATCCTCCTGCGCCGTCCCTGGTGTCTGTATCGAGATTGCTGTTCTGTCCATCCACGCTCGTGGCTTCTCATGTGTGACGGATTCTCATTTTACCAACCCAATCAACGGATTCTCATCTGATGATTGTCATCTTACTGTATCTTACCGGGCGAAGCTCCCTATGACTGAATTCAACTGACTGAGTCTCAAGCACTTGACATAATCGGACTGACTTTCATGTTCATACTCACGATCTCCATGCAGACCGGGAACAACTGAAGGACCTCGATGAGCCTTTCATCCTACCGCCCACACAGGTCAGTCAGTGTGCCACCCAGCATGCCACTATGCCCCCTACTCTGCCGTCTGTTCTTCTCATCGTGCGGTTCCCTACCTCCGTTGTCGGTGTTCCTTCTTTCTCGCATTTCCACTGCCCCCTGCCACCGCCTTTCCCTCCTTCCTTTCCGCCCCTCCCTCGACTGCGTTCTTCTCTCCTCAACCCTCGTCTCCACGCTTCTCATTGCTAACCCTTCATTTGCCTCCTCCCGCATCCGTCACAATGCCTTTGTCCTCTCCCTCATCCTGCCCCACTTCTTCTCCCTTCTAACTACTTCTCAACCCCCTCTTCTTCCCCCTCCTCAACCTCCACCCCCTCCTGCCCCCGTTTCCTCTCCTCCCCCCTTCCCCTCCTTCCCTACTCGCACTCGCCCACCCCTCCCACCCACCCCCCTCTCCCCCCCCCCCCCCCTCCTCCTCCCGCCTCTTTGCAGGTTTTTTTGGAACTTGCTGCTGGTCTCTTCTTCACCATCTGGGCGGCTGTGAACCTTCCAGGAGAATCCTTCTTGCCCATTCAGCTTTCCGAGGATGTGAACAGGTACCTCCGACACCCCACCTTTTTGTGTCATGAGATTGGCTGATTGTCTGGATGTCATGGGAATGAACTGTTTGCATGAGGACATGAACTGTTCAGCTGTCCAAGGATGTGAACAGGTGCCTCCTTCACCCCACCTTTTGTGTCATGAGATAAGTCTGACTCTTAAATCTCTTCTTGATGTCACAAGAACGGGAGACTTCCTGCCCATTCAGCTGTATGGGGATGTGAACAGGTACCCCCTTCACCCCACCTTTTTGTGTCACGAGATTGGCTGATTGGCTGATTGGCTGGGTGACCTTTGAGGCGCCTGAAAATCCATTCAGCTGTCCGAGGATGTGAACAGGTACCTCCTTCACCCCACCTTTTGTGTTACGAGGAGGTAAGTCTGACTATTAGATCTCTTGTTGGTTTCACAAGAACGGGAGACTTCCTGACCATTCGGCTGTCCGAGAATGTGAACAGGTACCCCCTTTACCCCACTTTTTGTGTCACGAGATTGGTTGATGCTGATTGGCTGGGTGATTGAGGCGAGTCTAAGCCATTCAGCTACCCCAGGATGTGAACAGGTACCCCCTTCACCTTTTGTGGCTGGTTGGCTAGGTGTCACAGGAATAAACTGTTTGCACGAGGACATGTCTGTGTCACGAAAACAGTTTTCCGTGAGACACGTCTGCATCATTTGAGCAAGTATCACGAGAACAGGTGGTGTCAGGGGAACAGTTTGCATTGAAATATGTCGGTGTCGCAGCACAGTTGTATGAGAACAGGTCAGTGTTGAGAGATGATTCAGACTTCCAAATATCTCTGTTGGTGTCACAATATCAGATATATTAGCGTGCCAATTACTCTCACCTTGGCTGCCTGCTGACCATTTCCCTCATTCTCCACAATATCTGCTCTCTCTCTCTGCGTATGGTGTGCATGGTACCCTTCTCGTGCTCCCTTTCTCTGTCAGGGTGGTGCAAACGCCAGTGCCAGTGGACTTTATGTGCTTCCATCACAGAGCAGCGATATCTCCCCCCCCTCTTCGCTTCGTCTTCAAGGCCCGACGATGAGTGTCTTGTTTCGGTTTGTTGGGATCTTTTTCCCCCTTTTATTAAAGTTTTAGGAAACACGAGCTGCTTGCATGTGGTTCACAGCATGTGTATATCGTTCCACACTCACCACTGGTTAGCATTTATCAGCGAAAAGATGAAATATTCACGCGTTGAGGCAATTTTCTGAGAAAAGTAGAAGGTTTATCAACAACCAAACTGATGTCTAACTGTTTACGAACTCGTTATCATCTATGCGTGTTTACTGCTTGTTGCTCGTGTAGTACGTGTACAGGTAGGGTACCCTCGTTAGGCATCAAACCCATCCATGCAAGAAGCGTGTGAGCCGCAGCGGTTCCAACTCAAGCGGGCTGCTGCTGCTTCAAGCCACACGACACACCTAACCTCGTCCGTGCTGGCCCGTGTAGTGAATCATATGAGATTTCTTGGATGCCGTACACCTCATGAGAAAACTCATTACGCGTGCATGCATCTTGTCTTGTCCCTTCTATGCCAAACGGTCGCTGGCGGAAAGCAGCGCGTTGGTTGGTCGGTTCACGTGGTAATCAATAGCATGACCGTCTACAGAGGCAGTCCGTTTTCCAAGGATACTGTTCAACGTGGCACACCCTCAGTAACCACGGTTGGGCTGATCTATGGAAGATTTTTCATTACAGTAATCACTGGTATAAACCACCTCTTTGTGCCATAAATGTCCCTGTGACTCATGTATTACGCAACTTTGATGATTCTTGGGTTTTTAGTTTCCCCGGAAGGCTTACTGTAGCTGTCCTTCTTTCAAGGGACTTTCATCTCAGCTTGCGCACACTTTCCGCTGATCCGCTTCTGAGGCGGAAGAGTTATTGTGCTAACACAGAACTCGGCTTCTCCGCACGTCACGCAAGCACTGTTTTCATCGGGTGTCTTCTGCCAGCAAGCACAAAACTAAACCCCTCTCGGGTGGCAAGTTTTCGAGGGCATCAACCCTAAACTCCACGCGATTAGGTGTTTAGGATTGATGCCCTTTATTTACATGCCAACCAAGAGGGATTATTTTTGGCATCAACCCTAAACACTTAGTCGCGGTGTTTAGGGTTGATGCCCCCTATCACTTGCCAGCCGAGAGGGATTTAGTTTAGTGCGGATTAGAGAGGAAGAAAAAACAAATTCTGTTGTGCATCGTTTGCCTGACTAGTAGCAGCTAAGGCCTTACGAGATGATGACACGTGGGTAAACGTGGAGCCGAGTTCTGTCCCAGCGCAATAAGTCTTCTGTCTGGGCGTCGAAACCTGGGAAACTCTGTGCAGGTAGAGATGAAGCTCCCTAGAAAGCGCAGGTTCGGAAGTACCCCTTCCGCAATAACTAAAAACCCATGATTCTTTCTACAGCTCATAAACTTAAGACTATTTGCACGGGAGTCAGCAGCATTTGAAAAACACGCAAACTTTGAATTATGACAGGATCCTCCACGTTCGTCAAGTTGAACTGTGGAGCAGAGCTCAAACAGCACTTGAATCATTAACCTGCATTTAAACCACCGCTCCTTGTTCCCAGGTTCGAAGCCAAGACAATTGTGACACCGTTTCGGACGGATAACGTTACAGTTGGTCGGCTCGGTAAACCTTGAACGGGAGAGCCCCCCGAACCGAACAAACGGCCAGCCTCAGCGGAAAACGCGGCGCCTCCGTTTGAACTGCCCCAACCAAACCGGCCACCGCCCACCAGGAAAATAAGTTTGAGCTCCTTCCACCAACATTCACACTTAGAGTTTCGGTTTCGTTCAACCCGTGAAAGCCCATCCCTAGTCCAGGAACATTTCGAGGGTTCCGCGTCTCTGGCAGCATTTCTTGTGGTTTGCTGTACTTGGCCGCGCTCCCACTGCTAGCAGCTCAATTTCGAAACAGCCAAGCATTTGTTCCAGACTTGGCTCCTTCCAAACCAGCCCCTCCCTGACTTACAAGAAGAATCAGGGATTTGCTGAAAGCCTGCCGTGGTGCAGTACTGCCCAATGGCGCGCGCATCAGGAAAAAGATCGACTGCCACGATTTGGCGCCAGAACCTGGGACGGAAAACGGAACCAGAGCGCGGAAATCCCAAGGCTTCCATGGTTTTTTCTCTTGGGATGTGATACTGTACCATATTCGTCTCCCACAAACCTCTATGCCCCCATCTGATTTCCATGGACTGCGGCGATGGTGGTTCGTTTCGCAGCAGGTTTGGTTGCGGATGTTGCTTGCTGCTGCTCGCATGTGGTGTGGGGGAAAGGTGAGGAATGTCCTTCAAATTTCTCTCCCCTCGCCTCTCCTCCGCTCTCCTCCATTGCCCCGAGGTCGCCGGAATTCAGAGTGGGTTTTCGTGTTTAGCCTGTTATAAAAAGAATCGTATACAGTAGTTAATAGCCTGCTGCCTGATGGAGTGTTTGGCTCCTGGAGTGTTTGCAAAACAAGCAAATGTCACCCTGCTAATGTCAGGGTAAACCAAAACAGAACGAAAGCCTTTCCCAACAAAAGTCTCTAGGTCATCCCCTCGCCGTCCTTCCACGGCGGTTCTCGTTACCCGCTTTGACCTCTTCTTTCCTCCTCTCTTTCGCGCTGTCAATTTGCCGATCAACAACAGCAGCAACTTGTTCTTGGCTCATACTGCTGCTCTGCCTTGTTCGGAGACATATCGTATGCCATCACCATCGCTCGACCGACGAGTTTCAGTTTCGAGCTAAAGCTCCACGCCAACATATGCGTTGGATTCCGAAAATAGATATGCGCTTTCCTTTCGAATGTTAGTACTCTAGTATCTTGAAAGAAAGAAAAGAAAATAGAGAGAAAAGACTCATCGCCTTTGTCAATCAAGATGAACGTGGGTGTTGCCGCTCGACCCTCCCCGCCAGACACGATGCATCCTTCCGACCATTTCGCGCCAAGCCATCCTTTCGCAGATCCCGCCGTCTGTCTCGCGACGCGACTCTCTCCCCCAGACTGCTTCTCCGCGTCGCTCAGCTCGTCCCCGTCGTCGCGCTGCGGATCCGAAGCGCTTAAAGCCGCCGCGTGCCGGCCGGCAGGCGGCCTCCAGGAACGGCCGTCCTTGCTCGGCGCGCAGGGGTTGGAACAAGAATGGGCGATCATTTTCGGAGAAGATGACGGAGAGGATGGGGATAACGTGGGTTACGGAAATGACGTGGATTACGAATATCCCGGAAATGATGGGAGGGAGGGAGGTGCGCGTGAGGAAGAAGACGACGAGGAGGACGTTCCTTGGGAGGTGATTAGTTCGCGGCTCCGGCAGCAGCTGAAGCAGGTGCTACACCAGCAGAAGCAGCAGCACGTGCAGTTGTCGCACGCGCGGACACACGACGGTTACCACAGCCAGCGACATTCGCAAGCGCTCGGGCACGCGCCGCCGCAGCTCAGCGCTTCGGCGCAGAAAGATCCGAATCGCGGCCGCTTAGAGAGCTGTCAGCAGTGGGAGCAGAGCATAAATAACGACCGGCAAGTTAGCCGGAGAACGGCTAGCTACGGAGACGGCGGCACTAGGGAAAGCGCTAGGGAAAATAGCAGCAGGGAAGGTAGCAGCAGGGAGGAGATAAACTGGTTGGCGCAAGCTTGCGCGGAGGGCCGGTCGAAGCAGGTAGACCGACGAACAGCTAACCGTCGGTCCTTCGACGTCGTTAGATCTGGCCGAAACTCAGTCTCGGAAGCCGTTTTCGTCTCCGTTACCGGCCCTGGTTCCGTTTCTGGTTCGAGTTCCGCGAACCGTGACTGTTCCGCCCACTCGTCGCCCGTGCCGCTGCAGCAGCGCCGGCGAAGCCATTCCGAAGTGCCGCCGCTGCTGGTAACCGTACCGAAAGCTTCGCTAGAGAGATTCGCGCTGTCGAACAAGAAAGGCTCCCCGGCGCTTCCGCCATCGCTCCGCCAAGGCGTATCCTCTTCCCCCAGTCCTAGCGACCGCCAGCAAAAAGCCTTCCCCCCGCGCTCTCCGCGCAGTAATCTTTCCGCGCAGGCACTCCGCACTTCCTCGCTCTCCCCCGATTCCCCGGCCATATCCCCGCGTTCCTCCTCCGCTGCGCCGTCCGCTGCGCTATCTGCTGCGCTCGCGGCGTCCGGAAAGGCGGAAAATTCTCGAGATGATTTAGATTCTTCGGACGAGGAGTTTCTAGCCACTTACTGCCACATCACTGGTTCCCCCACTCCCCCCGACCGCAGCCCTGTTGCGGATTCCCCCGTAACCTCCCCCCCTTCCGCGGCTACCGCGGGTTCCGCCTTCCGCGGGCCCGTCGTCCGCGTGCTGCAGAAGAGCGCGAGCTATCTGGAGGAGCGGGGGAAGCAGCGTCAAGCGCCGGTGCGCGCGCAAGCGGGGAGGGCGCAGGCGCTGGCAAAGTCGCAAGAAGCGTTGTTGCGCAAGGGCGGAGCGAGCGGGGGAGCGAGCGGCACAAGAGACGCGCATGCGCGGGTAAGGGCGCAGGAAGCGGCGGACGTTCCGCAGCGGTCCTACACGGCACCATCGGCGGGGGGGAAGCCGGCGCCTTTTGCGGCGCCTTTTGCGGCGGTTATTGCGCATCAGAACCTGGAGCAGCAGAAACTTCACCTGAAGAAACAGTTGCAGCAAGCGCATCAGCTAAGGACTGCAATAGGCGGCGGATTTAGCGGTAGCAGCGGAGGAAGCAGTAGCGGATGCAGCGGCAGTGGGCTTAGTGGGTCGGAGCTTGCGCGGGGATTAGGGCACGAGTTTGGCGGCAAACAAGCTGGAAGCGCCGCCGCCGCGCACGGGGCGCGCGGAACAGGGGGAAATGGGGGAGCCTCCTCCGCGGGACCTCAGGCGCAACCCGCGAACGCTGCGCAAGGCAGATCTAGAGGCATAGGGGGACACGCGGACACCCCGGCAGGCGGAGCGGTATCCGCGGGCGCGCGGAAGCTGTTCGGGTTGGGGTCGCAGTCTCACCGGATACTTTCGCACGCCGCCACTACTGGAGGAGCTCCCCGCGCGCTTGTCCGCGGGCGTTCGTGGGCGTCGCTGGAGTTTCAGCGCGCGCAAGATCCGCCGCTGCACGCGCCGCAGCAGGCGGAGCTAGCCCCGTGCGCTAAAGGCCTTCCCACTATCGAGAGCAGCGGCAGCGGCAGCGGTAACGGCGGCGGCAGCAGTAGGAGCAGGGAAAAGGGCAGCGGCGGTAGTAGGACCGTTAGTTTCACGGAGCGGCACTCCGCGCTTCTTTCCCCAGCGGATTCTCCGCGGGCGCGCGCTGGCGCCGCCGCGCCTCCGCTCTCCGCCATGGGCAGGGCAAGCTCCGCGGCTGCGGGCGGCGCGTTGCGGGGCTCCCCCTCGTTCCCCCATGAGCGGAGCGCTCTTCCGGAGCTCCCCGGTTTGGCGAAAAGGGCGCTGCTTGCGCAGGCGCAGGAGGGGACGGGCGCAACTAGCGCGGGCGGAACCTTGGCAGGCGCAGGCGCAGGCGCACCAGGCCTGTCCCGAACCTCGTCGGCTCGGCAGCTGTACGTTCAGAAGATGCTGCTAGACCTAGCGGCGCAGAGTGACGAAGCAAGCGAAGCAGGTTCGGGATCCGGTTCGGGACACGCGAGCCCGTGTGTCGCGTCGGGCGGGGGAAGCGGAACGGGCGGAAGCGGGAAGGGCGGGCGGAGCGGGCTTTCTAGGCGCGGGGTACTGGGGCGGTCTGTGTCAGGGAAGGAGCACGCGGGGAGGCGCGCGGGGGCAACGGCGCAGGAAGGTGCGGAGGCGGCGCAACTGAGCGCGGTCAGGCGCTCCGCTTCCGCTCGCTACCAGCCCGCGTCGCGGCTGACCGTTGACTTCAGCGCAGCTGCTTCCGCGGGGCTGACTGGCGGAGAGAAGGGCGCAGGGGGCGGGGGGTGCGGGGAGGGGAAATCGCTGGGGCGCTCCGCGTCAGACAAGGCGATGGGGGGAGGGGAGCAGGCGCGGATGATAGGCCTACCGTCAATCTCTGGGGCGATTTCCGGGATTTCAGGGGCGTCAATTTCCGGGGCGATTTCTGGGGCGTCAATCTCTGGGGCGGTTTTAGGGGCGGCCGCAGCTGTGGGGGGGGGTACATCTACAGGACTAGTAGATCTGTTTGCCGCTGCTTATAACAGGGGTGCTTGTGACGAGGATGAGGATGATGAGGATCTATTTGACATTCTTGCTGCTATGAGGAGCATGCAGACTAGCCCTCACTCTCCTAGCCCACTTTCCCCCCTCAACCCCTGCCCCCCCCGCTCCCCAGTCCCCCTCTCCCCTTCCCCCGCCAACTCACCCCACGGCGCCCCCCACCACCAATATTCCCGCGACCCTTCCCCCGCTCCCCGCGCTCCCCCCGTTCCTCGCCCTTCCTCTCCCCCTCCCCCTCCCCTTCTCCGCTCCCCCTCACCCGCCTCCCGCTCCCCATCGCCCCCTTCTCGCAACACACCTCAACCAAACCACCCGTCCTCCCTCTCCCTGTCTCACCCCAACATCACTCCCGCACGACCCGCCTCCCAGCTCTACTCATCCGCCCCTGGCCCTTCTTGCGAATCCCCCCCTCGCTCTCCCCCTCTCTCCCCCCTCGGATCCTCCTCTGCCTCCTCCCCTCGCTCCCCGCCTCTCACGCCGCCACGTGGTAACCACCGGCGCTCGCTGCACATCCCGTCCCGCTCCATGCCATCAGCTCTGGCTCGGTCGAACCGCCGCCATTCCGTGAGTGAGGATCGGCTGCTGAACATGACGCATCCTGCCGCCCGCCAGCCTGGCAGCAGCAGCGGTGGCAGCGGTGGGGGCGGTGGGGGCGGTGGTGGTGGTCCCTTTGCTTCTGGTAGTTCTCGTGGCGCATCTGCTGCTGCAGCTCGTGCGTTTGCGCAGTCGCGCAGCTTAAATTCTAGTTCGTCTGCTGCTGCGGCGGCAGCAGCTGCTGTGAAAGCGGCTGCGGCTGCAAGGAGGGGGCAGGCTGGCATGGGGGAAGGGAAGATGAATGGTGGTGGGGGAGTGAAGGCTGGAGGGCATTTGGGTGGTGGCGGTGGCGGAAGTGGCAGCTGTAATGGTGGTGGTGATGGCAGCGGTGGTGGTGATATGGGAGATCGGGTGTTTAACAGAGCACGAACACAGCCTACAGAGCGTGCGTCTGCAGGCAGAGGGCGATAAATTTCGTTTCTCTTATTGTGACTTTTCTGCACTGTATGATATTTCTGGTAATTTATTTAGATGAGTGCAACTCGTTTCTCAACATGTATCAATGTTATGGTACAGTACCGGTATGTGGAAATCTAATCTCAACAACCAAGCTGTCACCCTGCAAATACTGTACTCTACAGTAAGTGTGCTTGCGTCAGCCGGCTCACGTCAACTAAACTACGAAGCTTCGTGGCTTTGCCCTGTTATTGACGTTTTCGAGGAGGCAAAATCCTCCAACCAATCGACTTGTCGTAAAGCCCCGCGCGCACCGCTTCTGACATGCCACTTCTGGGGGTTACGCCTCTTCTGCCGAGTGAAAGGCCGCCACGTAGGCATGTGCCATTGTTGGAACCGAACTTCCACTGAGGCGATGAATGGTGGTGGTGCAACGCCCATATGGAAGGGATCGGATGGTCCGAGAAGGCACACGCCATCCAAAACTGCTGGCTAAGCGCATCTTGGCCGCACATCTTACCCACCGTAATCAATCGCCTACTGCGTAGTGAACATGTCTGTCTGGACTGGAATCCTTGGGAACTTCGCGAGGAGGTTGTGGTCGATGTCTGGTGTGGGCCGCTGGGAAGGGGAACGGAATCTCAGGCAAGGAGGGGGACTAGGCATGGTGGACCGTGGTGGTGTGCTGTGGCGTGGGGTCTCGCATGGTCTCCCCACAGTAGATCTACTAGCCGATTCCAGCATACTGTACTAGGAGCACCAGCGCCTAGACTCGAAGGCGCAACTTTGGTTAGGAATTCAGGCACTGCTGCTCGGGCATAGGAGCCTACTGCTGTTTGTTTTCCAGTTCGTGATGATTCTGTAGTAGCTCGAGCTCTTAACTACAGTGCGCTCGGTCGAGCAGCCGTCAGTGATTTCGCTTCACTTCCCGCGACGTCTTGAATTCTTTTCTCGTCGCGGGGTAAATAGTTTGCTCTTTGTGGCAGTTTGAATCGGTCTCGAACCGCGCAGCTACGAGTAGTTACTCCTACTCGAAGATAGTATTAGGTTGCTCTCACTCGCAATTCGCTGCTTGACGCGCCTGCTGCGAAGTTGCTCGGTACACGACACGCTCGGGGACTAAATCGCAGTTCACGGTTTAGACTAAAAAATCACCTAAAAGATCACCGTCGCTTACGCCGTCAAGCGCCGTTTCTTGCCCAGGCTCGACGCGCACCGTCCGCCATGGCTCGTCAGGAGCAACCCGGGGACCGCGGGAGCGACGAGGCCGAGAGGCTGCATCCAGACCGTCCGTTCGAAGGTAACTATTCGCGGATGTTCGCCATGTCTCGTCTGGAGCACAGTTCTTGGAAATCGTGCTTGTCAGACTCTGCACAGCTTTTGCGGTCTGAGAAATGAGCCAACATTTTACTTATTTCCTCTGTTTTCTAGGCGTCTCCGTATCCGTTCGCGGTGGACACAGGAACACAGTTTTTATCCGTGCATCGTTTTGTACGCCTTTAGAGTGGCAATGAATCGATGGATTCTAACTCCGGCATATTCAGGCCAGGTTCGTCTCGGAAGACCGTCAGAGCAAGATTCAGTTATCCTCGCCGCTCCACACCAGTTCTCACCTCTCTCCACTCACGTGTTTCTCTTCTAACCCTCACTTTTCCTGTGCATTCCGTCTGCCCCGCTACCATCCCTTTCTCCAACAGCCAATCACATGAACGGTCAAGCTAACCACGCGGAGAGTCACGAAGGCAGTCGAATGCTAAACGGAGACTCCCACGTCGTGGTTGACGTTGACGGTAGCGTTAACGGTATCGGAGTGTCGACCAATGGAGCAGGGAAGCACTCCACGAGGGTGAGAGGCGGAGGAGACGATGGGGGGAAGGAGGGGGGAGAAGGGGAAGATTGTGGGAGTGAAGGCGGAGGCGGAGGGGGAGGGAGAGGAGTGGGGGGGGTGTATCAACGCAAGAGCAAGGTCATGGATAAGAGCCACACGATGAGCGGATATTGCAAGAGGAACATCACCGATACAATCACCGTCAAGGTGAGATTCGATACAAGTACAGTTGGATAGGAGTTATACGAGCGATACGATGAGTGGATACTGCATAGTGTGAGACTTGAGACAAGGACAGTTGGGTGAGATTCAATACATGCACAGTCAAAGTGAAATTCGATACAAGCACATCTCCCCTTTCCCCCTTCCGTTCCATGACGTGCGCTACAAAGTGCAAGCTGCCAAGGCGGGCTCCTGGGACCCGCGCCACTGCTGCCTCCCCACGCTTCCCCGCCTCACAGCTTCCCCGCTCCCCTTTTCCCCCACTCCCCTCCTCACCCCCGCCCCACCCCCAGTTTAAGGACGTGCGCTACAAGGTGCAGACAGCCAAGGCGCGCTCCTGGGACCCGCGCCACTCCTACCTCCCCACACATCTTCCCCTTTTACCCCTCCTTTCTCCCCCTCCACACCCCCCAGTTCAAGGACGTGCGTTACAAGGTGCAAACCGCCAAGGCGGGATCCTGGGATCTGCGCCACTACTGCCTCCCCACACTTCTTCCCCTTTTTCTCCTCCTTCACCCCCCCGCCCCCCCCCCCCTCCCCAGTTCAAGGACGTGCGCTACAAGGTACAAACCGCCAAGGCGGGATCCTGGGACCCGCGCCACTCCTGCCTCCCCACGCTCCCCCCCTCACAGCTTCCCCGCTCCCCGCTCCCCTTTTCCCCCACTCCCCCCCTCCCCAGTTCAAGGACGTGCGCTACAAGGTTCAAACTGCTAAGGCGGGCTCCTGGGACCCGCGCCACTCCTGCCTCCCCACGCTCCCCGCCCTCCCCGCGCTCCTCACCTCCAAGCGCGGGGGAGCCGCGGGCGGGGGAGGCGCAGGGGGAGGCGCGGAAGCGGGCGCGGGGGGGAAAGCGGGCGCGGAGGTGCGGGAGAAGGAGATTCTGCACGGGATAAGCGGGAGCGTGGCGCCGGGGGAGGTGCTGGCGATGATGGGGCCGTCAGGGGGCGGCAAGACCACGTTTCTGAACGTGCTGGGGGGCCGGTTCAAGCAGGGCAACATGGCGGGGACCTTGACTTATAACGATTTGCCTTATAGCAAGGCGCTCAAGAGAAAGTAAGTTAGCAGGGGGAGGGAGGGAGCGTTGGTTCGTGAGAGTTGGGAAGCGGGTGTGTGTGGGGATTTGGGATCGGTAAAGGGCGTTTTTGAACGTGCTGGGGGGGCGGTTCAAGCAGGGCAACATGGCGGGGACTCTGACCTATAACGACCTGCCGTATAGCAAGGCGCTCAAGAGAAAGTGAGTCCAGGAGGGGAGGGGGTGTCTCAAGTTGGGGGGGCGGGTTTCGCAAGCAGGGCAACATGGCGGGGACTCTGACTTACAACGACCTGCCTTACAGCAAGGCGCTCAAGAGAAAGTGAGTGTGGAGGAGGGAGTGTGGGAATGGGTGATAGACGATGTTTTTGAATGTGTCGAGTAGGAGGTGGTTAAAGCAAGCAGGGAAACATGGCGTGGAATCTGACTCATAACAGCTTGCCTTATTGAGGCTCTCTGCCCTCGTCTGCCCCTCTCTCTGCCCTCGTCTGCCCCTCTCTCTCTGTCCCTGTCCCTGTCCCGCCCTTGTGTTACCCTCCCCCAGGCTTGTCTTCGTGACTCAGGACGATATATTCTTCCCGCACCTCACTGTGCGCGAGACCCTCCTGTACGCTGCTGTGCTGCGCCTGCCCAACGAGCTCACCTTCTCTCCCTCTCTCTGCCCCTGTCCCTTTCTCGCTCTGGTATTCCTCTCCTCTCAGACTGGGCTTCGTGACTCAGGACGACATCTTCTTCCCACACCTCACTGTCCGCGAGACGCTCTTGTACGCCGCTGCGCTGCGCCTGCCCAACGAGCTCACCTGCCTTTCTACCTCTTTCTCTCTTCCCCTCTGCCCCAGGCTTGGCTTCGTGACTCAGGACGATATATTCTTCCCACACCTCACTGTGCGCGAGACCCTCATGCACGCCGCTGTGCTGCGCCTGCCCAACGAGCTCACCTCCCTCTCTCCCTCCCTGGTTCCTCTTGGCACTCCCTCTCTTTCCCTCTGCCCTGTCCTGTCCTCTCCCCTCTCTCAGGCTTGGCTTCGTGACTCAGGACGATATATTCTTCCCGCACCTGACAGTCAGGGAGACGCTGATGTATGCCGCTGTGCTGCGCTTGCCGAAAGAGCTGAGCTGGGCGGAGAAGGTGCAGCGCGCCGATGAGACCATCACAGAGCTGGGCCTTGATAAGTGAGTGTGGTGGGTGGTAACAGGTGAGAACCGGGAGACCATGGAGTGCAGGGTTCAGTAGGCATGTGATGGTATGCTGTGCGGCTTCCCAAGGAGCTGAGCTGGGCGGAGAAGGTGCAGCGCGCCGATGAGACCATCACAGAGCTGGGGCTGGACAAGTGAGTGGTCAATCAGGCGCATGCAGCAGGTAAGACAGTTGGGACAGCTGGTCACTGGGGTCACTCTGAACCGCCCTGAACCGTTCTGAACCATTTCCAATCGCTCTTTTGCTCCTGAATTTCCCACCCCACCACTCTTCCCCTACCAGGTGCCGTAACACGGTGATAGGGGGGCCGTTTCTCTGTGGCATATCCGGAGGGGAGCGCAAGCGAGTGAGCATCGGGCATGAGATCCTCATCAACCCCTCCATGCTGCTGCTCGATGAACCCACCTCCTCTGCCCCACACTAGAGCCCTCTCAACCGCACTGAACCGCCCTGACCCGCTCTGAACCGCTCCGAACCGTTTTAAACCTCCTGAATCTTTCACTCCCCCCTCAGGTGTCGTAACACAGTGATAGGAGGGCCATTCCTGCGCGGCATATCTGGGGGGGAGCGCAAGCGAGTGAGCATCGGACATGAGATCCTCATCAACCCCTCCATGCTGCTGCTCCACGAACCCACCTCCTCTGAACCACTCTGAACCGCCCTGAACCGTTCTGAACCGTTTCGAATCGCTCTTTTTCTCCTGAATTCCCCACCCCACCACCGTGCCCCTACCAGGTGTCGTAACACGGTTATAGGGGGTCCATTCCTGCGTGGCATATCCGGAGGGGAGCGCAAGCGAGTGAGCATCGGACATGAGATCCTCATTAACCCCTCCATGCTGCTGCTCGATGAACCCACTTCCTCTGAGCCACTCTGGCTCACCGTGAATCACTCTAAACCATTCTAAATTACTCTTTCTGTCCTGATTCTTCCACCCAAACCCCTTCCCTTCCGTTACCAGGTGTCGCAACACAGTGATAGGAGGGCCATTCCTGCGTGGCATATCCGGAGGGGAGCGCAAGCGAGTGAGCATCGGGCATGAAATCCTCATCAACCCCTCCATGCTCCTGCTCGATGAACCCACCTCTGGCCTCGACTCAACCACCGCTCTCCGCATCATTCAAGTCATTCAGAACCTCGCTAAATCGGGCCGAACCGTTGTCACTACCATCCACCAGCCGTCCTCGAGATTGTTCCACGCGTTCGATAAGCTGCTGCTCTTATCGGAGGGCAACGCGATTTTTTTCGGGCAGGCTGCGGACGCGATGGGGTATTTCGGACGGCTGGGGTTTGAGCCGCTGTTTGCGATGAACCCGGCGGATTTTCTGCTGGATTTGGCGACGGGGACGACGGCGGATGTGAGGCTGCCGAGTGTGTTTGGGGAGAGCGAGGGGTGGCAGGGGAAGAGCGTTCCGGAGCAACAACACGACGTGAAAGAGGTGAGCTTGTCTTGGGCCTTCATTTCATTCATACAAATGGCGACGGGGACGACGGCCGATGTACGGCTGCCGAGTGTGTTGGGGGAGAGCGAGGAGTGGCAGGGGAGGAGTGTGCTGGAGCAACAACACAACGTGAAAGAGGTGAGCTTGTCTTGGGCCTTCATTTCATTCATACAAATGGCGACGGGGACGACGGCCGATGTACGGCTGCCGAGTGTGTTGGGGGAGAGCGAGGAGTGGCAGGGGAAGAGTGTGCTGGAGCAACAACACAACGTGAAAGAGGTGAGCTTGTCTTGGGCCTTCATTTCATTCATACAAATGGCGACGGGGACGACGGCCGATGTACGGCTGCCGAGTGTGTTGGGGGAGAGCGAGGAGTGGCAGGGGAAGAGTGTGCTGGAGCAACAACACAACGTGAAAGAGGTGAGCTTGTCTTGGGCCTTCATTTCATTCATACAAATGGCGACGGGGACGACGGCCGATGTACGGCTGCCGAGTGTGTTGGGGGAGAGCGAGGAGTGGCAGGGGAAGAGTGTGCTGGAGCAACAACACAACGTGAAAGAGGTGAGCTTGTCTTGGGCCTTCATTTCATTCATACAAATGGCGACGGGGACGACGGCCGATGTACGGCTGCCGAGTGTGTTGGGGGAGAGCGAGGAGTGGCAGGGGAAGAGTGTGCTGGAGCAACAACACAACGTGAAAGAGGTGAGCTTGTCTTGGGCCTTCATTTCATTCGTGCCGGGTGCTGGTGCACGCTTTGAGATGCCTCAAATCCCTCATTGTTATCTCCTCTCCCACTGCCCATCCCCACTCCATCCCCCACCATCCGCTATCCCCTTTTCCAATGTCAATCCCAGTTCGTGGCTCAAGCCCACAGGGAGCAGCAGCAGCCGCTGGTGCACGCTGAGCTGGCAGGGCTGCCCGCCAGCTCAGATGCCGACCAGAAGAGCGTGCTGCAGCGCCGGGGGTGGACGGCGCCGTGGCTGCTGCAGTTCTCGGTGCTGTGGACACGTGGACTGAAGGAGAGAAGACATGAAGTGCTGTCTCCTCTCAGGTTCTATCAGGTCAGTAGTTTGCTTGGGTTGAATGATTGTGGTTGGGTGGATGAAAATGAGGGCGGTGGTAGGGGTGGACGGCGCCGTGGCTGCTGCAGTTCTCCGTGCTGTGGACACGCGGGCTGAAGGCGAGACGGCACAAACTGCTGTCACCACTCAGGTTCTATCAGGTGAGTTGCTCGGGTTGTCTCTGTGAGTGAATTAAAAGGAGGGTGGTGGTGGTGTGGATGGTGCCGTGGCTGCTGCAGTTCTCCGTGCTGTGGACGAGGGGGCTAGAAGAGAGACAGCACGAATTGAGTTTTAACCAGAGACGACTTTTGAGGCGCCTCAAAAGGTTTAACCAGAGCGTGAGCTGGCGTGTTGGAATGCGCCGCAGTATCTGACGCCCCTCTCTCCCCCTCTCTCCCCCTCTATGCCCCTCTACGCCCCTCTACGCCCCTCTACGCCCCTCTCTGACCCTCTCTCTTTTTACCCCCCCCCCCAGGTGACAGCGCTGGGCTTCATCTGTGGAATGCTGTGGTTTGGCTTGGAGCGCAACACTCCCGTACTGTCCTAACCATGTCTCCACTTCTGCCCCTCTATTCACTTCCCCAGGTGACAGCGCTGGGCTTCATCTGTGGAATGCTGTGGTTTGGCTTGGAGCGCAACACTCCCGTACTGTCCTAACCATGTCTCCACTTCTGCCCCTCTATTCACTTCCCCAGGTGACAGCGCTGGGCTTCATCTGTGGAATGCTGTGGTTTGGCTTGGAGCGCAACACTCCCGTACTGTCCTAACCATGTCTCCACTTCTGCCCCTCTATTCACTTCCCCAGGTGACAGCGCTGGGCTTCATCTGTGGAATGCTGTGGTTTGGCTTGGAGCGCAACACTCCCGTACTGTCCTAACCATGTCTCCACTTCTGCCCCTCTATTCACTTCCCCAGGTGACAGCGCTGGGCTTCATCTGTGGAATGCTGTGGTTTGGCTTGGAGCGCAACACTCCCGTACTGTCCTAACCATGTCTCCACTTCTGCCCCTCTATTCACTTCCCCAGGTGACAGCGCTGGGCTTCATCTGTGGAATGCTGTGGTTTGGCTTGGAGCGCAACACTCCCGTACTGTCCTAACCATGTCTCCACTTCTGCCCCTCTATTCACTTCCCCAGGTGACAGCGCTGGGCTTCATCTGTGGAATGCTGTGGTTTGGCTTGGAGCGCAACACTCCCGTACTGTCCTAACCATGTCTCCACTTCTGCCCCTCTATTCACTTCCCCAGGTGACAGCGCTGGGCTTCATCTGTGGAATGCTCTGGTTTGGGTCGGAGCGGAGCGCAACACTGCCTCAGGGGCCCTCCTCATGTTGCTTGGCACGCACCTTACCATTCTCATCCCCTCCCTCCCATCCACCCCCCAGGTGACAGCGCTGGGCTTCATCTGTGGCATGCTGTGGTTTGGCTTGGAGCGTAACACTGCTTCAGCACTCCTCCCGTACTGTTCGAACCATGTCTCCCCATGTGCGCCGCCCATTCACCCCCCCAGGTGACAGCGCTGGGCTTCATCTGTGGCATGCTGTGGTTTGGCTTGGAGCGTAACACTGCTTCAGCACTCCTCCCGTACTGTTCGAACCATGTCTCCCCATGTGCGCCGCCCATTCACCCCCCCAGGTGACAGCGCTGGGCTTCATATGCGGCATGCTGTGGTTTGGGTCAGAGCGCAACACTGCCACGCAGATTCAGGACCAGGTGAGAGGCCACATGCAGGGAGATGTGCAGATTTGATTTGAGGATCGGATCAGGTAAAAGTTCAGATGGAGGATTAGGCTAGAAGAAGGTACGGCACAAGGTGAAATTTCAGATGCAGATCATTTGTGATTGCTCCTCTTCATCCCATCGTATGGGCTGGGGATTCTTCTGAGTTCCTATTTTGTCGCCTTTCATTCCTTGTCATCAGTCCAAATTCTCGCCTCGCTTCCCCCTTGCATCCTTTGTGTTTCTCACCAGGTGCTCTCTGAGTTGTCATCTGAGTTTTTATTCTTCTGAGTTCCTATTTTGTCGCCTTTCATTCCTTGTCATCAGTCCCCATTCTCACCTCGCTTCCCCCTTGCATCCTTTGTGAGTCTCACCTGGCGTGCACTTTTCCATCTCCATCTCTTCCCTGGCATGCCTCCTCCCCTTTATTTTCTATTATCAAACCCCTTGCCCTCTCTTCCTTCTCCTCACCATCACCAGGTGGGCCTGCTATTCTTCATCTCCATCTTCTGGGGCTTCTTCCCTCTCTTCGCAGCCATTTTCACCTTCCCACAGGTCAGTTCCCACCTCAACTTGTAAGTAAACTCGTCGCTTGAAATGCATATTCAGTACCCCAATTATATCTGTTCCGCTCGGTGCAGCAGCCTTCTCTTGCACTTAACCAAAGCCCCACCTTTCTGTTCAGCTCACCTTTCTCCGCCCCATTCCACCGCACTCCACACCAGGAACGTGCCATCCTAGCCAAAAGGAGGGCGAGTGACATGTACTGGCTGTCAGCCTACTACCTCACTGTCTCACTGTGTTTTATCACATTCCACCGCACTGCACCCCATTCCACCACAATGCACCGCAGGAGCGTGCCATCCTAGCCAAGGAGAGGGCGAGCGACATGTACCGGCTGTCAGCCTACTACCTCAGCCGGCAGCTGTCTGACCTCCCAATGGAGTGGCTGCTCCCCACGCTCTTCCTCACCTTCCTCTCACCCCGTTCCACCGCATTGCACCTCATTACCACCGCATTGCACCGCACTCCACCACAGGAACGTGCTATTCTAGCAAAGGAACGTGCAAGCGACATGTACCGTTTATCGGCCTACTACCTCAGCCGGCAGTTGTCAGACCTCCCTATGGAGTGGCTGCTCCCCACGCTCTTCCTCCTCATCTCCTACTTCATGGCTTCACTGAAGCTCACTGCGGGGGCGTTTTTTGGCCTCCTTTTCTCCACATACCTCATCGTCACCACGGCTCAGGTGGGTGGGGATGTGTGTGGTTTGGTACAGTGCTCTCTGTTTTTGGCCTTCTCTGTGTCTCTCCTCAGCTCTCTGACCTCCCTGGAGTGGCTGCTCCCCACGCTCTTCCTCCTCATCTCATACTTCATGGCTTCCCTCAAGCTCACTGCCGGGGCCTTTTTCGGGCTGCTCTTCTCGACCTACCTCATCGTCACCACGGCTCAGGTGGGTGGGGATATGTGTGCTTCGTTGCAGTGCTGCTCCTGGGAGCAGCAGTGATGCACGTCAAAGTTGCCACCACGCTGGCCTTGGTGCTCCTGCTCACCTTCATGCTGGCAGGAGGATACTACCTGCAAGCCATCCCCGCCTTCATCGCATGGATCAAATACATCTCCTTCACCTACTACGCCTACCGCCTCATTATCAACACACAGTTCTCCCCTTCCTGTCTCCCTCTCCCCCTTCTTTCTCCCTCTCGCCTCGTCCTTCCCCTTTCCCCTTGCAGGGCTGCGGGCTATGCCTGGGAGCAGCAGTGATGGATGTCAAAGTCGCAACGACCCTCGCCTCAGTGCTCCTGCTCACCTTCATGCTGGCAGGGGGGTACTATCTCCAAACCATCCCCGCCTTCATTTCCTGGATTAAGTACATCTCCTTCACCTACTACGCCTACCGCCTCATTATCAAGACACAATTCTCCCCTTCCGATACCTACCAATGCGGCCCGTCGAGCGACCCCAGTTCGGTTATCTGCCCGATCTCGAACGCACCCTCGTTCCGGGGGTTCTCGCTGGGGGACGCGTGGGTGGATGTGGTGGCTCTATTAGTCCAGGTGGCGTTTTACCGCGGGCTGGGGTACTTTGCACTGAGAAGGATGAAGACGAATGTGTAGCAGAATATTGGCGGCACAGTCGTTCCGGGGTTTCCCAAGTTCTTGCTGGGGGACGCGTGGGTGGATGTGATGTGGTTGTGCTGCTGGTGCAGGTGGCGTTTTACCGCGGGTGGGGGTACTTTGCCCTGAGAAGGATGAACACGAATGTGTAGCGGATATGGTATGGTAACTGCCCAACGTTGGACGCACTCTTCTTGCTGGGAGACACGTGGGGTACTTTGCGCTGAGAAGGAAGAACGAAGAAGAACGTATAGAGCTGAGAGTGCCTGCAACCTAGTGTTACAGGTGCTGATGGTGCTGCCTCAGCAGGAGTGGGTGGATGTGGTGGCGCTGCTGGTTCAGGTGGCGTTTTATCGTGGGCTGAGTTACTTTGCCCTGAGGAGGATGAGGACGGATGTTTAGACGGAAGATGGTGCAGCGATTACTTGCTCTTTTTCCCCAGCTGGGCACTCTTTTTCCCTGTTCACAAATTCGATGCACTGCTTAGGGTAACCATTTGTAAATGATTTTTTGAAGTGGGAAAGCATTATCTGAAAATGTATGTCGTAGAAGCACAGCTGAGCTGCATATACCGCTGCAAGGGTGTACTAAGAGCTAATTCGACATTGTCGTGTCTGAGAGAACTTTGTTTAGACTGCATTATACAGTCGAGCACCAAAAGAATCGCCTCCTATAAGAAAATTTCAGCCATGAAGACTGGGCAAGCAGCAGTTTAAAAGGGAATTTTAGCAAACAGATGGTAGTAAGGTTACCGTATTAGTTTACTGTACCCTGCTTAGGAGCATTCACCATCGTCACTATCACTAACATCGTCTTCATCCACAACATCATCCTCCTCCTCCTCCTCCTCCTCCTCCTCCTCCTCCTCCTCATCATCATCACCCTCCTCCTCCCCTCCCCCATCATCATCCTCCTCATCCAGCTCCCCAATGGCAATCCCCTCGGGGTCAAAGGGCATGGGCGCCTGTCGGTGTGGGGGGTGGGGGGAGAAGATGCAGAAGCAGGCAACGAAGGCAAAGGTATGGGGCACAGTAAATGTGACATCTCCCCCATCTTCCTCCTCCCCATCAAGCTCCCCAATGGCAATCCCTTCAGGGTCAAAGGGAATGGGCGCCTGTAGGCAAGTAGGCAAGAAGGGGAGAGGCATGAGTCATTATTATTATCATCCCCCCCCCTCCCCCATCATCCTCCTCCTCAACAAGCTCCCCAATGGCAATCCCCTCGGGGTCAAAGGCCATGGGCGCCTGTAGGCAAGCAGGCAAGAAGGGGAGAGGCATGGGGCACAGGGCATGAGTTGAGTCATAATCATTGCCATCCCCCCCCTCACCCATCCTCCTCCACCAGTCATCTAGCTCCCCAATGGCAATCCCCTCGCTGCCCACGCCCACCTATCATCACACCCCTTATCTCTGCAATTCTAATAATGCAGGTTAATCCAGGCACATCACAGTGTTTCACGACTCCCTTCCTCCTCACCTCGTCGCCCTTGTCCCACCCCTTGAGCTTCGACTGCCCCAGCTCGAAGCTATCAGCCAACAGGGACCACGTCGGCTCCTCTGCTGGGACATGGGACTTCACTCCTTGCATATCAACCACCACCGCATCCCACCGCTCTATCATTCATTCCTCACCTCGTCGCCCTTGTCCCACCCCTTGAGCTTCGACTGCCCCAGCTCAAAGCTATCAGCCAATAGGGACCACGTCGGCTCCTCTGCTGCCGCTGCCGCTGCAGCCGCTGGCTTGGCCTGTGCGGAAGATTTGAGAGAAGGAGAGGGCAGGAAAAGGTTCTATTTAGGGCCATGAAAGAGGATGGAGAGGGCTCCATGAGTTAGAAAGGCCGATGAGGATTCTGCTCTTTCTTCTGCACAGTTGTGCTTCTCTGCAACAGGCAGGCACGCGGCGTGAAAAGGGCCAAAGGAGAAAGGACACAGCTAAGGGTCAAAGGGTCAAGACATTACCTTGCCTCCTTGCCTTGACACAGCAGCACCACCAATACCACCAATGGCAGCTGTTGCCGTGGATCCTCTTAGTTCCGTCAGGAATGCTGCCTTGGTCTTCTTATCCGCATCTGAAGGGAAGTGCGGCGGGAAAATGAGCGCAGAAAACACGCGTGTGAGCATGAATGGGTGTGAGCATACATGGGTGTGAGCGTGAATGGGTGTGAGCATGAATGGGTGTGAGCATGAATGGGTGTGAGCATGAATGGGTGTGAGCACGAATGGGTGTGAGCATGAATGGGTGTGAGCATGAATGGGTGTGAGCATGAATGGCTGGACATTCATGCACCATGTGTCATGAGTTCCAGCATGATGTCAACATGATGTCAACATGATGTCAACATGATGTCAACATGATGTCAGCATGATGTCAACATGTTGTCAGCATGATGTCAACATGATGTCAGCATGATGTCAGCATGATGTCAGCATGATTGGGCCGCCAGCTGGCAAGGTTACCTTTGGTGGAAGCTTGCTTCTGCACCTTCTGAGCCTTGCTGACCTGCGAAAAGAATGGTGGTGTGATGGGGCACCATTTAACTCAGAGATTCGTCTAGCAGTGTTCGTGGAAGTGATGATGATGGTGATTGTTATTGTAATGGTGATGGTGATTGTGATTGTAATGGTGATGGTGATGGTGAAACAAAGATGCAGAGAAGCAGGCACAATCGGAGTGAGTGGATGGTTGGTTGCAAATGAGTGTGTATGGGAAGGAATGGAAACACTCCTTTGCAACCGCACGTTTATTCGATTCCACACGAACGCACCGCATTGAACAGTCGAACCACTGTTGCCGGCAGATGGGATGAGATGACATGGCAAGGCAGGAATGGAATGAGACGGGCAGAAGGGACACGGAACAGGCAAGACAGAAATGCGAGAATTGCATACAGGGAGGGGGTTATAAACGAACCAGAGCAGCAGAGATGGCAGGCAGGGCGACTAGCATGTTTGAGTAACTTTTGAGAGCTCCCAAATGCATTTCAGAGGACAGAGTGAGTGTGTGAGACACAGCCCAACAGACCTCCCACACGCCAGCAGACCCGTCTCACCTCCCTTTGTGGCAATCTTGACGAGAGCCTTCTCTTTCGGGCCGAGGAACGGCTCTGGAAGCACATGTGCCATCTCCCTCTCCTGGTGTGTGCAGCACACAAGTGGTGAAGAAGCAGGGCGGGGGAAGGGGAATAAAAGAGGAATGGTGCTAGTGGAACAACTCTGGAATCACGTGTGCCATCTCCTCTCCTGGTAAGGGACTCAAGTGGGGTTGATGCATGCAAGGGAGGGAAGGAGAGGGAATGAGGAGCAGTGCTAGTGGAACGGCTCTGGCAGCACATGTGCCATCTCCCTCTCCTAGTGTGTGCGGCACGCACAGGGGAGGGGAAGGAGGAAGAAAGGGGAGAAGGTTGGGGAAGCACAGTGGGGGGGAGGGAATGAGGAGTGGTGCTGGTGAAACGGATCTTGCAGCACGTGTGCCATCATCCCCTCTCCGGGTGTGCGGCACGCACAGGGAAAGGGGAAGTGGAAGGGAGCAGGGGAAAGGGGGAAAGGGGGAAAGGAGGAACAGGGGGAGGTGGGAAAGGGGGAATGTTGGGAAGAACATACGAGCCAAAGAAGGTACAAGATTCAACCGACCCCTCACCAAAGGGGGAAACTGGCACTGCACTGCACTCACCATCAGCTTCCTCTCAACCACAGATACGGACTTGGCCATCCCCTTCCCCTTCCTCGTTCTCTCCCTCTTCCCTTTCAGGAACATACAGTACTAACGGTTGCAAGACACTGGCACTACAACCACTCACCATCAGCTTGGCCTGTTTCCTCTCAGCAGCAGATACCGCCTTGGCCTTCGCCTCTTGCTTCCCCTTCCTCACTGTTGCCATCAATACTTCCATTGAACAACAAGTCACTGGCACTACAACCACTCACCATCAGCTTGGCCTGTTTCCTCTCAGCAGCAGACACCGCCTTGGCCTTCGCCTCTGCTTTGGACGCCTTTCCCTCCTCCAGCAGCTTCTTGCGCGCTGCTAGGATGGGCGCCTGGGGGAAGGGGGGAGGAGGGGGGGAGGTGGGAAGGGATAACGGGGGGAAGGGGGGACTGGGATGGGCGCTTGGGGGAAGTGGGGACGAGGGGGGCGGAGATTCCCAAACCCTATACCCCGTTGCTCGCGCCCTCACCTTGTCGGTAACAGGGACCTTCTTCGCCATGATGCTCGCGAAGGCAGTTGACCCAGTTGACCCCGTTGACCCCGTTGACCCCGTTGACCTGAGGACAAAACCCCGCCAAAAATCCCAAAGCCCTAAACCCCGTGGCTATCACGCACACCTTGCCAGTAACAGGGACCTTCTTCGCCATGATGCTCGCGAAGGCTGTGGCGAAAGACGACGAAGGCGCTGCTGCCGACCCAGCTGCTCCTTCGCCGTCCCCATCTCCCTCCTCCTCCTCTCCTTCCTCCTCCCCTTCCTCACTACCACTCTCGCTCGGCTCATCCTCTTCACTTCCATCCTCTTCCTCAATCTCCTCCACTCCCTCACTCGCCTCCTCTCCCTCACTCTCTTCCTCTACCTCACTTTCCTCCTCTCCCTCACTCTCCTCTCCCTCACTCTCTCCTACTCTTTCCTCCTCCTCATCCTCCTCTACGAATTCCGCAAAACCCTTTTCCAACCCTTCTCCCCTAGAACCTTCCGCCTGAGATCCCGATAAACCCTGTCCCTTAACCCCCTCCTTGCGTGCAGCGGAAGCCTCCTTCCCCTTTGCCCCCGCAGCTCCCCCTTTTTGCGCAACAGAAGGCCCTGCCTCTAACGCTTTTCCTTGCGCCCCTCGCTCGTCTACCCGTCGCCCTTCGTTAGTGTCACCTCCGTCTCCCAACAACCCTGCTTCTGCCGCCGTTTCCGGTGAGGCATTGCTCTTCCCTGATTTCTTCTGTGTTTCATTAGAAGCCTCTCTGTTTGTAGCCGAGAGAGCACCGCGCTTACGAGTTTTCCCTCCTGCTTGCTCATCCTCGCTACCACTATCGAAGCGGTCTAGAAATGAGGACGACGACGACAGCTGTTTCCGCTGCCGCTTTTTTCCTTTACCGCCGTGACTGCCGCCGTGTTTCTCGTTTGTGGCGTCTAGGAACTCGACAATTCCGGCTTCTGCTGTCGTCATTGCGAGGCTGGAGACAATATGCGGAACAGGTTTGCTAAAGTGGAAGTGCGCAGGAGATTACTTTGGATAGATAAATTGAATGCCTACCCACGAACAGCTCTCGTAGCTCAGTTGGTTAGAGCGTATGGCTGTTAACCATAAGGTCGGTGGTTCAAGCCCACCTGGGAGCGCTTTTGCTCTCTCATGCGATTTTCCTGGCCCTCTCACACGGCTCTCCCACTGTTTCTAGCCTGGTTTTGCTGAGTCTGTGGGCAACTCTTACCTCTCTTTCTTGCACTCAACACACCTCTCATGCTTGCACTCAACACACCTCTTTTCCTTGCACCCAACACACCTCCCCTGTTTCTTGCACTCAAACACACCACTCCTTTTTGCACTCATGCACCATTCTTCTTGCACTCAACACATCCTCATCTCATCTTGTAAGACGGGACAGATGAGTAAGAAAGTACCGAATAGGGTTTAGGGACAGAATCGAGGTACAGTATGTGCTAGTTAGAGAAGGTTGGAGTTACACTTGTGCTCAACTATACAGAATGTAAACACTAGGATAAATGTACAAGTGTTTCTACAGTCTAAGGTCCAAGTCTACCTCTCTGCACTGTACCGTAGCAGCAGGCCCTGCAATTCCTTGCCCCTTGAAGCATTTCAGTAGCTCCATCTCCCCACCCTGCTGCATCATTACTGCTCCCTCTCCTCCTGGTGCCTTCTGCTGACTCAGCCTCGACGCCAGGACAGCCACCAGCATGCTGAGCTGGCTCCCTGCCACGTCACCAGGTCCCTGTGCCACACTGGACGCTACCTGCCGCCCGTCAGCAGGAGCAGTTACATGGTAACCAGCTGCATTCGCAGGTGAAGGCCTTTGGGCTTGACAGATGTTGGTTGCGTTAGGAGGCTGCATAACACATGCCGCATTTAAGGAGGTAATTCCCTTAGCATCTGATGCTGCCACTGACCGTCCTGGCTGAGAGCAGTGGGGCTCAGACCGCTGGATTTTTTGCCCCGTTACAGTCTGCTCCGTTACTCGCGCAAGCCTCTCCCGCTTCTCCTGCTCCTGCATCACCAGCGCCATCAGCTGCTGCAGCTGAGACGCATGTGCCGCCACCTTAGCATTGAAACCGCCGCCATTCGCGGCGCCGACAGAAGCTCCCCCAAACGGAGGCACGTTGGTGGGGGTCGTCGGGCTAACGGGATTGCTCCCCGCGGCCGTCAGGTCCGTCAGTGATGACGTCAGCGAGTTCATTCGGTCCGTCAGGGTCAAGCAGGACCCTGCGAGCGCGCCGACCCGACGTGGCTGCGGCATTGCTGACGTGTCCGACGGAGTGAGCGCGCCGCCGTCTCGACCAACGTCACCCACCGACTTATCAGGCCCACCCGTTACAAGAACACTCGGCGGCTGCCATTTCTTCCCCGCGATTCCGGGACGGCCGAGTCGCTGCGACTCCACTTTAATCGACTCTGATCGGCCGGCATCCATTGTCGCGATCTGAGCCCCTGCGGCGCAGCCGCCGGCGAGCTCCGTCACGCGCGCAGGGAACTTCTCAGAAGCAGCACCGCCGCAGCGCCTGCCGCCCCGTTTCATGGCAGGTGCTGACGGATTCGGGCCGCCCGGCTGGCTATCGGCGCGGCTCCGTTTCGAGCCACGTCGCTGCTGCGGCGACGACTTCGCACCGCCAGTCGCCGTAGCCATCGCACCCGCGGCGACATCTTCGCCAGCGCCAGACGACGGAAGCGTCGTCGCAGACGGCGACGGCGACAGCGACGGCGATCGTCGCAGGCTCTGCGAAGCCGCCGCGGCGCTGCCGGCACTTCCAGATTCCCCCGGAGTTTCTTGCGATGCCACCACGCGCGCCAGGCGGCTCGCAACCCGCGGGGGCGGCGGCGTGCCGCTTTTGCTCGGCGCGGGCGAGCCGCTCCCGGCAGGTTCTGAGCTCATACAGTCTCCGCCGCCCACCGGGCGGTTTTTCTTGTCCTTAGCGTGGTACGTCTGGTAGTGGAAGTCAAGAGAGTGGAGCGACGGAAACTTGTTGGAGCACTCGCGGCACGCGTACGGACCGCCGTTGATCGCGCCGATATTTGCGGAACTTGCTACCGTTGGGCTGAGAAGCATGAGCAAGTCGGCCGCTGATAGGCTCGTTTTGGCTTTAAAGACCGCGGAGTTGGAAGCTTCGTGGAAGCCCGCTCGTTTGGACGCAGCGGAGTCGACGGCGCAGAGGAGCGAAACTGGGGCCTGACGGAGCGCCGGCAGAGCGCGCCGGCCGGCAGATTTGCCGGCTAGCAGGCCGTCGGAGGGTGATCGAGCAGCCAAAGCCATGCTCGAGTGATTGAGAAAGCGTTTTAAAGTTTAATAAGCTGATTCCGAGTTTCGCGCTGGAGTTGGAGAGAGAAGATCAATGAGTAGGATACCGTTTTACTCCCAAGGCACACGCTTTGAAGTCGCAGGGCTGGAAATCTTTCGCAGCTAACCGAGTCGCCTTGACCCAGCTGTTTGGGATATCGTGGGAAGACGCGCAACTAAGCAGTTTTCTCTAAGAGACGAGTAATACAGCTCGATCGAGGAGCAGTGAAAAGTAATAAGGCACAACTTCGAATCCTAGGGTAGGGGAATGAAAAGTCTGGTGGATCGCGCGCTTTTAGTACACGCCGCTGGGGAAGGTGGCGGATCCGCGCGGAGACTTCGAGGTATTCTACCCGCAGATCGAGGTGGGTGAGGAGACGGGACGGGAAGGGACGGGAGAGCGGGGCGAGCCAGGACCCAAGAACGATCTTCGTTACAATAATGCGGGAAGGCTGCCCTGAAAGTTGCATTGCAACGAGGCTGCTGCTGCTGAAAGTCGCTCGCTCGCGCTTCTGACCCTGAGAGTCTGAGAGGGACGTCCGTCCGTCCTCTCCTGTCGCAAGGTCGTTGCAACAGTTTCGAGAAGAAACTGCAAGGGGCTGTCGGTGGTGATGGGCGACTGATGCATGGCTGAAAGGCCAGAGAGGCGCTCGGTGGGCTAGGGTATAATACGGTGACGTGGGATACAGTATAGTGGTGTGGGGTGAGACGGGGGGCATCGATGTATGCGCAAACGACGACGACGACAACAACGGAGCCGCACTGGTCTGCATGTAGTTACACTTATGTGGGCTAGGAGGAGAAATTCGGATTTTGAATGCGTTAGGGGGAATCGGGATCCGAATCAAGACTCTTGAACTCAGAAGAGACTCTTCGAGTGAGGGACCTCTGTACGTACAGAATCAGCACAGAAGGGAATTGTTCGTTTTGTGAACACTAGATTCCTAAACTGACGGGAGGTGGTTGGCACGTTGATGCAAAGGTCTCGGTATGCTGCAGGCAACGAACGTAACGTGCTGTACAGGCCACGAGAGGTGGGGCTGCTGCGGTCGGCGGGAAACTGTTGGGAGTTTTGGAAGCGGATGAAACCGCTCGCAACCAATCGGAATCCGCCAGCCGAAACGATAATAGGTCGGTGAGTTTCCGATTGTAACTTTGCAAGCATTGGCGATGAAACGGGCAGCGATGTATCTCTCTCGCTGTATTTTTCGTCGAGCGTGCTCGTCTGCCTGTATTCTGTTACAGGGAGATGGGAAGGTGGAAACGGCGAAAGCGTGGATGACAAAAGGGGGTGCTTCATTTGGTGCCAAGCCAGAACGAGAGGAAAACGACGACTGCCGCAAGGGGGAAGAGGAAAGGGACGGTGCGAAAGCGAAACGGACATGTGAGAATAGAATTCGCGAGCTCGCCACGCCCGCCAGCGGACGGTTCGACAAAGAAGGGTTGAGCGGAGCGGAACGGAGAGGGAATCGCAAGTGTGTCGTCCACTCCAGCCATTTCAACCGCGATTTGCGCGTTCCGCTGACACCCTGACCTGACGTGACGCGGGAGGTTGAATTCCACCGAAGCGTGCTTCTCTCCACACTTCAGCCATTGACTGACGGAGCCAATTGCGGTTGTGCAGAAAACTGACGAAACTGTACAGTTGACGGGGAATGGGACCTATGTACTGTTCACCGCGAGGGAAGGGAGGATGCATCTCCCCGAATGACAACTGTGGGGAGAGCGGGAGAGGAGAGGAGACTTTTTGATTGACTGTGCTGCCCCCGTTGCATCCGTCGCACGCTCCACTCTTGTCTCGACACCACCAGGGTGGCATTCTCCATTCCATGACTTGGGCAGGACAAATGCACGATCGATGTCAAATGCTCAACCACTGTACTGTACAGAGCTGCATTTCACATTTCCCCCACGAAACGTGTACAGCCGGTTCCGTTTCCTCTCATTTCAGTCCGTACACACGATGCCCGACCACTGCGCCTGAATTTGCCCTGTCCCTTTCAAAAAGCCTGCCCACGTGAGATTTTCCCCAGCCAGCTGCACCCTGCTTATAAGCGCGCCAAACTACTTGCGAGTGGATGGCAGGGCGACAAAATAATGACGTGAACATCAGGACAAAAGACTCAGCCCCAGGTTGAACCCATTTTCAAGGCCAGAGTCATGCACGGCGAAAAATGTGGCCACGGTTTCCGCAACGTCGCGCACATTTTCGCCAGGCAGTGTACGCCACGTCCGCATGGCTGCTTGTGCACCAAACGCTCAACCGAGCGGCAATATATCCACGTTTACATTGCCAGGGAGAGATACAAACACATCCCCATTCACAATGAGCATTTATGCACACGTCATATCCTCCTCCCCAGGTTACCCAGTGCGTGTAACAGACCACCATCCCGAAACATGCGCATTTCGGGGAGTTGTTACAGGCTTTGAAATGTGGCGAAATGCACTCATGCGAGGGATGAACCAAACTCATGCGCCGCGGCAGCACATTCGACAACACCACACCAACACAAACGTGAGGCAACCATAAAATGACAAGTCCCCAGCCTGAACTTGTCACTGAGACTTATTAGTCTCTAATCTCCACCACCATGCCGCGCCTCTACCGCCGATCGCAGGTCCCCGTGCATATCAAGCGTGCGATTTGTGCCCAGCATGTGAGCAACCCCAACATGCGCCAGGTCGACCTGGCGCGGTGGTGTTTCACGCGCTACGGGATCCGTCCCGACCATAGTACTATTGGGCGCGTCTTGAAGAGCGCTGACCGTTGGGTCGCCCTGAATAACAACAGCGTGCGCATGCGTGGCGGCGCATACCCGGAGCTGGAGCTCGCAATGGTGCGGTGGATTCCAAACGCCGGCCCTGCGGGAGTCCCGCTCACCCTCGCCACCATCCGCGACCACGTCGCGGTCATCGCGCGCGGCATGAATCTCCCCCCCACGTTCCGCTGCTCCGTAGGGTGGGTGCGCCGCGCCATGCGTCGCCACGGCATTCGTTGCCGCAGCGCGACTGGCGAGGCCGCGGACCAGGATCACGCCGCGGTGCGGACTTGCCAGCAGCAACTCCCGCAGCTTCTGATGTACCTTGCTCTCCGCCCCTGCGACGTGTATAATTTCGACGAGACGGCACTCTTCCTCTCTGTGCTACCGCGCAAGACATACGGAGGTGCGCGTGTCGCCGGGCGCAAGCTGGCAAAGCAGCGTCTCACCGTCGGGCTGCTTGTTAACGCGGACGGGAGCCACGCCTTCCGCCCATTGGTGATATCGAAGTCTAAGCGCCCTCGGGACTTCCTTCCCGATTACGACCCTGAGGATCTCTGCTATTGGCGTAGCAACGCCAAGGGCTGGATGACGGCCCCAGTAAGTCGTTGAAGCCGACTACATGCCCTTGAGTTGTTGTCATTTTGCGTAACACACACCCCCCCAAGCCATGTATGCTAGTGTCCGAACACCAGGCGAATGTTTACATGTTGTTTTTTCCCTTGTATGTTTTTCTTCACATTTTCAGTTATTCCAGCACTTCATCGAGCAGCTTAACACTGCCATGGTGGCCAAGGACTGCAACATTGTCATCCTGGTTGACAATGCCAGCAGCCACAACCTGCAGAGTGAGGATGCGGAATCCGAAGACCTCTTCGGATTTCGCACCCGCGTTCTCGGGAACATCCGTCTGGTCTTCCTGCCGCCCAACATGACTGCTTTCACGCAGCCGCTTGACCAGGGGCTGATTGCCACCACGAAGGCACGCTACGCCAGCACTGGCTCCGCACGGTCACAAGCCTGTGGGAGGCCGGCGGCTCGCCTGCTGCGCTTGCGCGCTATCGCCCGAACATGCGTGATGTCATCGCATGGCTCTCCGATGCCTGGATGAACATCCCCGCCCGCACGATCCAGCGCTGCTGGTGGCGGACGGGCTGCATGCCGCGCTCCTGGGCCATGGATCTTGCGCATGTCGGCCGTGACGGACTCGCCCCGGTCGGCGACGGCGTCGTGGCGGCGCTCCCCATCGACCTCGACGAGGACATCGGCGAAGTCGGCATCATGATCGCCGGGCTGCGCCTCGGCCCGAGCGCCATGCCCGCCGCCGAGTTCGTCGCCATCGACGACGACCAGCCTACGTGCGCGGAGCCGGGCGACGATCCGCTGGCCATTGAGCCCCGCACGCCGTATTCGGCGACATCATGGGAGCCGCCCGCCACCATGCAGGAGGTGTACGATGACGACCAGCCCGAGAGTCGCGAGGCGAGGCGTTATGCGCGGGCGGCAAGAGAGATGTTAATCGGCTATGCCAAAGCGACCGGCATCACCCCGCGCAACCTGTGCGCGCTCTTCGAGATCAAGAACCCCATCATCGTGGCGCACATGGAGCGCGCGAGCCCGCCCCTGAACCTCAACGCGGCACCTCCAACCACCCCTGGGCTGCTCGCATCTGAGGGTGGCGCGCCTTCGCCGGCCGCTCATGTGGACGGCCCCGCGGCGACTCCTCGTCGCCGCGGGCGCGTCCTTCCTGCGTAGATGTATGCGCCGGCGCCGACGCGCCAGCAGCTCATCGACTCTGGCGTGACTGCCGTGATGAACGGCTATGTCGACGCCGCGGAGTGGATGACAATGTGAGAGGGGTTTGGACCCCCCAGAAGGAGATTGAATCTCCTCGGTGCAGAGGTGTGCACATCTTGTGCACGCTGGGGCACTGTCAATAGCCCCTAATTCAGTTTCAATTTGGCAGGTGTTTGTTGCTGATTGGACGTGGAATTGTGGTTGCTTCGTGTTGGGGGGTTGTGAGTGTTTGTGAAATTGTGAGCTTCATTGAACTTGTCAAGGCTGGTAACATCGGGGTGACCACATCCACCAAACACAGCAACACCACACTGTTCACATTTAACTTTCCCTAGTGGTTACAAATGCCAGTTAGAAGCCCCCCTTACCTGGAGCGAGCTGAGCGAATATAAACGAAGAGGGCAAACCACTTATAGGCCCTCTTCATACGCCGAGTATGGGGGACTCTATCGAGCATCGGGTGTACAGCAGTGCTATTGCACATCTGCCCGAGCCGAGAGACGTTCAATGGATGGGATTTTCTTCGTCAGCAACATTTTCCTCGGGAAACCACAAGCGACAGTCAATCCTTGAAATGGAGGGGGAAAGTCAAGCACGTATCTGATTCGTAATCTGCCTGGAAAAATTGGGGAAACTTGGAAAGCGAACAGTTTTGGCAATTTGATGCTGGAGTTGAGCGAGACGGGCACCAAACAACTCCTCAAGCGAACCCACATCTGGAGAAAAGAGTCCCAGCGGAATAGTGTGACGTGTACAGTGCAGCAGCAAACTAGCAAAACGGCTGGCAGCAATGAGCTTGGTTGTCTGATGCACACATCCGCAGGACTTTTTTTCACGCCGAGAACGTCGGTAAGCGCACGATTCGTGGCAGCAGCGTTTTTCCACAGTGACCGTTTCGAGGCACGTTTCCAGAACATCCTGCGTGCGGACGACGGACTCAGCCCAGCCAGCCAGTTACACTGCCATCCTACGGTGCCACACCAAGGCCGCAATCTCACCGCTATTGCATGTTTCGCTAAAGGGTTGAACATAGGATTAACCTGTGTGCGAGGCATACAGCTCTCTATGAATTTTGTCCGAATTTGGCGGGAACTGACTGACTGACTGTCTGACTGACTGGCGGGATCAAAATCATCAGCCTATCACAAGGTGAGCACAGCAACAGCCACGAATCTGTCTCCTAAGTTCCTAACTAATCACAAATTCCTTTTGTATAACATTCGTGAGGTTACTACTACAGGCACGTCTCAACACATGAAGTGCACCAGTACCTACTAGGCAGCAAGTTTGGATTTGGACCGAGCAAGTTTCTAAGCTTCTTGAACGTTTCTGAAGTATCCTCCTAAGCCAGTCTTCCTCCGAAAGCCATGAACTTCTTTCGGCGGAAGGCGCAGGTTCAGCCGGCGCCGGACCGCGAGCCTCAGAATCCGCCACCTGCCGCAAAATCCGGTGCTGTTGTTGGCGCTGAGCGGTCCGATGGCGGCGCAAGCGGCGGCGAGAAGCCCGCCGCGACCGGCGGCGCGACGGACGGCGTGGTTCGCGCTGTGTCGAGCGATTGGATGGGCCGGCCGGACCTCAAGGGGGAAGAGTAAGGCGCTTCGGGAAAGATTAGTAACTTATAGGCTGGTAGAAACAGTATCTAGGTCCCTCATTTTCTCTCCCACTCTCCTCATTCGCCTCCCCCCCCCCCCCCCCCTCTCCCCTCACCTTCCTGCAGGCACGTGCATATCCACGTGCGAGGGACGCTCGGGGTTTTGGCTCTTGACTCTCACGCTCGTGGCCATAGGGTGTTCTGGACAATTCTCTTCCACCCTCTCAACCCCTCTCAACCCCTCTTGCTCCCTTCCTGCAGGCACGTGCATATCCACGTGCCAGGGACGCTCGGGGTCTTGGCTCGGCCCAACGCTACCCTGGCGGAGATCTGGGAGGCTCGGCCGGACCTGCTAGGCTCGGGGCGGCGGTACTTTCTGACCACGCGGCTGCGGGGGGAGACGGGGGGGGCCAAGGGGGGCGCGGGGGGGCGCGGAGGCGGAGGGGGGGGCGTGGAGCGCGCGAGTGCCAAGGTGGAGGTGCTGTTTCGGGGAGGGGACAGGCTGAGAGCGGGGTTGAGATACCGCGCGCACTGCTGGCTGGGTGAGTCTGATGTAGGATGCTAAGCAATGGTGAGTCGGTGAGAGTGGGGGAAATGCGTCCCCATGCATCTCAAGTAGGGGCCTAAAGGTAAGTGCTGTTTCGGGGAGGGGACAGGCTGAGAGCGGGGTTGAGATACCGCGTGCACTGCTGGCTGGGTGAGTGGTGGTGGGGGGAGAGGGGGGGAGAGTAAGGGGTCAAGTGCAGGTGCCGGGGGGAAGGAGTGAGGGGAGGAAGGGGCGGAAGGTGGGGCGTGGAGCGCGCGAGTGCCAAGGTGGAGGTGCTGTTTCAGGGGGGAGACAGGCTGAGAGCGGGGTTGAGATACCGCGCGCACTGCTGGCTGGGTGAGTGGTGAGACTGGCAGAGGGGAAATAGATGATATGTGGCGAGGTGACTTTTGAGTCGACTCAAAAGTTCGGTTGATGGGGAGAGACAGGCTGAGAGCGGGGTTGAGATACTGCGCGCACTTCTGGCTGGGTGAGTCCTTGTTGGCAGAAGGGAAAGGGGTAAGGGAATATGGGGATGGGTGGGATGTGAGGTTGGTTGATGGGGGGACGACAGGCTATGGGCGGGGCTGAGGTACCGCGCACACTGCTGGCTGGGTGAGTGGTGGTGTGGGGGGGAGAGAGTGGGGGCGGAGGGGACAGAAGGTGGGGTGTGGAGTGCGAGCGCCAAGGTGGAGGTGCTGTTTCGGGGGGGGGGCCGTCTGAGAGCAGGCTTGAGATACCGCGCGCACTGCTGTTTGGGTGAGTGTTGGGCCCTTAATGTTTGCACGTCGCTTTCCTCCATGTCCTTTGTTAACCCCTTGCAGGGCCAGAGCATTCAGGAGCAGGAGTGGCAGCGAGGGGAAAGAGGACGGGAGGAGGGGGAGATGAGGGGGAAGGCGCGGAAAACTCGTTGTCTTCTCACCTTGCGTTCGCATCGCTCTCGTCAGTTGAATGGGGGACCACGGGTGGTGAGAGAGAGGCAGTGATGTGGGGTGGGCGGCTGCTGAGGTGACTTTTGAGAAGACTTTTGAGTCGACTCAAAAGTCACCTCATAGTGATGTGGGGTCGGCGGCTGCTGAGAGGAGGGGGTGGTGAGAGGAGGGGGCGATGAGGGGGAGGTGTGGGGAAAGGGCGCGGAGCACTCGCTGTCTTCTCACCTCACATTCGCATCGCTCTCGTAAGTTGGGTTAGGTGGCAATGGGTGGTGAGATGGTGAACTGCAATGATCACTTTTTTTTCCACTCGCTCGCTGCTCCTCCTTCCATCTCTCTCTCCTCCAGAGGCACGACACTGCAGCAGCTGTGGCGCCTACAACCTACCCTCTCACCTCCTTGCTTCTCTCTCTTTTCTCCTCACTATCTCTCCTGCTCCCCAGGTTTGCGCGAATATCGTGTAACGGGCGCGTTGAGGAAGTACCTGGGGGAACAACACTGCAGCAGCTGTGGCGCCGACACCCCACTCTCTGCATTCTCACCTCCTTCCTTTCATCCCTCTCTCGTCCCCTTTCGTGTTCAATAGGTTTGCTCGAATAGCGTGTGATGGGCGCGTTGAGGAAATACCTGGGGGAACAACACTGCAGCAGCTGTGGCGCCGACACCCCACTCTCTGCATTCTCACCTCCTTCCTTTCATCCCTCTCTCGTCCCCTTTCGTGTTCAATAGGTTTGCTCGAATAGCGTGTGATGGGCGCATTGAGGAGGTACCTGGGGGAACCACGCTGCAGCAGCTGTGGCGCCGGCACCCCACCCTCTGCGACGGACGCCGCTACTTCCTCGTCACGCAACCTCACACCAGCAGTCATGCACGCACTGCCGCAACGCATGGCGATGGTGGTGCCAGCGCTGCTGCTCCCGATGCTGCCGATGATGCTGATGTGCTGTTTCGCCCACAGGACGTGTTACAGGCGGGCGCCTGTTACCGTGCTGAGCCGGTCAGAGGTGCGTGTGTTCTGCTTTCTGAGAGGTGTGGGCCCTGTGCTGGTAGTGCCAACCAGCACTGCTGCTCCCGGTGCTGCTGCCGATGATGCCGATGTACTGTTTCGCCCACAGGATGGGTTGCAGGCGGGCGCTTGCTTTGTTACCGTGCTGCTCCCGATGCCACTGCTCACGATGCTGCTCCTCACGATGCCACTGCTCACGATGCCACTGCTCACGATGCCACTGCTCACGATGCCACTGCTCACGATGCCACTGCTCACGATGCCACTGCTCACGATGCCACTGCTCACGATGCCACTGCTCACGATGCCACTGCTCACGATGCCACTGCTCACGATGCCACTGCTCACGATGCCACTGCTCACGATGCCACTGCTCACGATGCCACTGCTCACGATGCCACTGCTCACGATGCCACTGCTCACGATGCCACTGCTCACGATGCCACTGCTCACGATGCCACTGCTCACGATGCCACTGCTCACGATGCCGCTGCTCACGATGCCGCTGCGCACGATGCCACTGCTCACGATGCCACTGCTCACGATGCCACTGCTCACGATGCCACTGCTCACGATGCCACTGCTCACGATGCCACTGCTCACGATGCCACTGCTCACGATGCCACTGCTCACGATGCCACTGCTCACGATGCCACTGCTCACGATGCCACTGCTCACGATGCCACTGCTCACGATGCCACTGCTCACGATGCCACTGCTCACGATGCCACTGCTCACGATGCCACTGCTCACGATGCCACTGCTCACGATGCCACTGCTCACGATGCCACTGCTCACGATGCCACTGCTCACGATGCCACTGCTCACGATGCCACTGCTCACGATGCCACTGCTCACGATGCCACTGCTCACGATGCCACTGCTCACGATGCCACTGCTCAC